CTAAGGAGGAATAATAAGCCTCCTTTATATAGTATAAAAGCACCTACTTTATATAGGCTTTATAAGCTACCTTTAGTTACTTTCTTATTAACTATAAAGGTAATAAGCTAATTTATCTTAAAGAAGTAAGTAAAGATAATAAAGCTTACTTATTAGATAGTAAAAACTATAAATTTACTACGTTTTTTATATCTACTATATACTTTAGTAAGTAGTTAATTAATAGCCTATCTACTTATAAAAAGTTATATAACTAAGTAACTTTTTATACTATTACTTATAAAAATCTATATAAAAAGGCACTACCTAATCTAACTATAAAAAGTAGTAATATTTTTATATTTAATAACTACTACTTTATATTAATATTTTAAGGTATTATGCCTAACACTAGTGTAGCTAAAGTATTTATAGCTAGCTAATAATAGTACCTTATACTTAAGAAACACCTTAGTAAGAGGATCCTATTAGATACTACTTATACTAGTAAAGTAATAATTTACTTTAGTAGTAAGGATTACTATAAATCCCTTAGTGTAATCTATATACCTATACTAATTAGTAATCTTGTTTTTTATATAATAATAAGTAATACACTATTTCTCTTTTGCCTATAGGATATAGATTACTATAGTGTAAAATTTAATAACCTTACTAACTAGCTTATTAAGGATAAGATTATTATACCTATTACCTAAAAATAAGGCTATATATAGATACTTTTAGAACTACCTAAAAGTACTATTATAAAGTAGCACCTTATAGATAGTAAATTATACTAAACTTACTACTAATTTAGTTACCTATTAGTAAATTACCTTTATAAGCTACTTAAATAAGTAGGTAAATTAACCTCTCTTACTATACTTAAAGAGATTAATAAATACTACTATTACTACTAACTTAACGTAAAGGCGCCTAGTTACTTTAAGTTTACACTATATAATAACTATAAATTTAACTATAAAATTATTATTAACGTAATATATTTAAAGGGTAATAAGCCTATACTTTAAATAGTTAACTTAGCTATAGCGTTTAATATAGTAAGATTCTTATATTTAATTACTATAGAATACACTTAGGAGGCACTATAGATATATTAAATTAATATATACTTTAGCCTGCCTAATTAGATTACTACTAATACTAGCCTAAATTTTTATATAGCTAAATTTAAATATACTACCTATATGTTATCTATTAAGGTTAATAAAGTGCCTATTAAGGCCTATTAATTTATTAGTAAAGTTAAGTAATACTATACTACCCTTTACTATACGTATAAGATTATCTATATAGATAGTAATTATAAGCCTAAAGTTACCTTTTAATTAGCTATTAAAGCTATTAATAATACTACTAGCCTTAATAGCCTTATACTAACTTTACTTATTTTTAGGGTATACCCCTATATTATAGATAATTTACTACCTGCCCTTTCTACTATATAGCGCACTAAAGTAGTAAAAAAGGCTATAAACGTAGTGTAGTAAATCTATATAAAAAGATAAGTATATAATACGCTAGTAATATATAATAGCTTAGATATAATAAATACTATAGCGCTACCTCTTTAATTACTTATTTATATATAGCGTAAGAAAGACAGCTAGTAGGGCCTGTTTTACCTACTTACTAATAATAGTACTACCTATACTATTAAATTACCTTATAGCCTATATAATTTTTATATTACTATAGTAAAGCTATACTATATAGTATAAAAAGAAGGCCTATAGGCGCTACTACTTATAATAGCTAAAGAAGGTAATAATCCTATATAAGTATAAGAAGAAGAGCCTATAACAGCTAGTAAATCTATAGAGGAAGTACGTAATACTATTATTATTAATAATAGGCCGCCCTTATAATAAGGCTATAGCTACCTATAGAAGAACCTAATTACTACCTTTTTTTATAAGATATACCTTACTATTAATATCTTTAATATATACCTTACTATAAAAAAGGAAGCTAACTACACACTTACTATTAAACTATAAGAAAAAGGTATTATTACTACGCCTAGTAGGCCTTTTAAAGAATCTAATAAGGTAGAGGTAAAAGCCCTTATTAACTATAGTATATTTTATATTATTACTTATAATAAGAAAACGTATAGTAATATATAGATCTTTAAGTTACGTATAGTACGTAAGGTTAAAAGAAAAAATAAGTAACTATATAAGAAATTATAGTTAGTTATTTAAGGTTATACTAATAATAGTAAGAAAATAATTCTTATATAGTTACTTATAATCTAATAAATAGCCTAGTAACTAATCTTTACTTTTACCTTATTACTTTTATAATATAGATTTTACCTTTAGTTATATAATATTACTTAGGCGTATACCTAATCTATAACACCACTTAACTATATTATTCTTATAAGACTTCTTATATAAATTTACTATCTTTACCTTAGTAACTTTATTATAAAGGTAATAAAGCTACTTTATAGTATTACTAAGGTAGGTACCTACTAGTAGGCTATATATAACTACTACTATAAAGAGAATCTCTAGATAGATTTATTAACCTTTAACCTCTACCTACTTATTTTATTAGCTAATAATAAGGATTTTAGCCTTATTAGTATATAAATAGATAATATAATTAGCCTTATAAATAATAAATTCTCTACCTATAAGGAGAAGAAGCTTAAGAAGGTAACCTTTACTATAAAGCCTAAGTAACTATTAACTATTAATAATTTTATTATCTTTAATAGTAGTATGCTTTCCCTTAGCTATAATAGTAAAATAAAATTTTACTAAAAAGATTAAGGTAAGAAGCTCTAGCCTGTTAATATAAATTTACTTACTACTAAGTAAGATTTTATCTAGTAAAAGGCCTATAAGGCGTATATTATATTAATTTACTAACCTAAGGCTTACTTTAACTATTTAGTTACTATATAACACTAAGAGCCTATAAAGGAGGAGATTAAGGCTCTTAACTACTAGATTAAGTAGTAAATAAGTTACCTTAACTATAGCCTACTTTTTTAGCTAATTAACCTTATAACTATAAAGCTCTTTATATTTATTAATAGCTTATTTATTAATAACTATAATTTTATATTATAACTTAGTTTTATTATTATACTTACTAATAAAAGTAGTACTATATAACTTATTACTAATAATAAGAAATTTATACTTACTAGTAATATTATTTACTTTAGCTTAATAAAGTGTAAAAGAGTTATATATAGTATACTAGCCTCTAAAGTCTATAGTATAGTTACTAGCACTAATATTACTTATATAATTAGCACTATACTTATAATAATTACTAACTGCCTTAAGTTACTATAAACCCTAATAATTCTTTATACTAACTTATACTCTCTTTATAAGTGCCTTATAAAGCTTAGCACTACTAAAAAAAAGTAACTTATAATTAATATTATAGCGCTTTACTAGTTATATAAGTAATATAAGATCTATAAGATCTAATAAATATAAAAAGAAAATAACCTAGTAAATAGATTTATAAAGATATTACCTAATAAAGCGCTAAAGTAGTTAATTAATAGTAGTTAATTAGAGATATAAATAAATAAATAGGTTTTATATATATAATAGGTTATATATATAAAAAGTATTAAATACTTTTTAGCCTTTTGTTTTTATTACGTTTTTAGGCCCTTTATAGATAACTAGAAAATAAGATAATTTATAGTACTTTAGAAGATTACTAGTGTTATAATATTAACTATTACCTAGATATTAGTAGTATAGATTAACGCTAAACGGCTAGAATAACTACAGCTAATTTACTATAGATCTACTAGATTTATAGGGATATTACGCGGTGGATTTGCTGCGTAATCCTATAATAGTTTCTTTTCCTTTACGTATAATTTAGAACTAGTATTTACCCCTATTATTTGTTACTGCCTATTGATACGTACGGTTAACCGTATCACCAACCTGGTGAAACCAACAGTATTATAATGCTTTGAGAACTCTTAATGCTCAGCATTTCTTTATCCGTTAGTGGCCCCGCACAGTGCTCAATGACTAACCAAGAGCAGCTTTTTGTGGCCCCTAGCTTCTCATCTTGCTATGGCCCGAGTCATGTCTGTGTAATGAGTATCTTTCGATGATTCGAATTCTGCCGCCTATTGATATGCGGATTCCCCCTCCCTACAACAGGACGACCAATTTCAACATTGCGTTAGGTCTACGGCATCTTAAAGTTTTATGTGAAGTCCCCTCTAAACTGTGTTATTACGGTGATCCAGAGAATGCCGTGGGGACTGACCCCGTCAGGTCTCGGCCGCCCGTCGTCATGTTGCCTGTTGGCTGATACTCTGGAGTGAGACACATTGCAGCGGTTATGAATTCCAATTGATGTCGAAAGACGCACCGTATATTATTATTTTAGAATGCAGCCTACGTTTACCGCCTTTGTCGGGGACAAGGGCAAGGTGAACTGTGAGTGGGATTAGAGTCACGTATGTTACGGCCGGCGGAGAGGAGGCCGGAGTCGACTACCTTGTCTTTCACATCGAAGAGGGCGATGGAAGCATGTGGAGCCGTACGTTTAGTATTGTAATGTTTGCGGGTGCAAAAGAGTTGTAGGTGATAGCAGGCGCTTCTTTCTTTACCACCAGACACGTCCACCTGAACTGTAGATAGCAAAGCCAGGCCCTGGATGCCGACTTGTCCATAAGCAGACCGTAAATCACATGTCACGAGCATTTATCGAACGCGAATGTGCCCAAGCTTTTAGAGTAAATTAGTAATCTAGATTACCAGCAGGTAAAAAGAAGTCTTTACAATATTTTCCATTAATACATCGTCCACTCGCCCTCCGCTAACATTGTCCAACTGCACGCTGCGAACGGAGCATTTATCAATAATCAGGAGATGACAATCCAGATGAAATAAACAATCGACGGCGCGTCTCCATGTCTATCGTGCGCTCCTATAGTATTGGCTACCGCCACTGCCCGAAAACCCATATTCGTCTGTAAAAGCGAATCAGGCTGCAGTAGGCTCGGCGTTGAGGACCAGGCGAGCAAACTTGTTGCAGTTGCCCGTGCGCGAGTCACAAGTGGGCTCGGCAGGGAGGCAGGTGATGGTTGAGACCGTGTAGGTCGAATAGCGGGGAGCAACACTCGCGGTCTGGGTGCGAGTGATGTACGCATATCTGTAAAGGCACACAGACTGGTTTGTGACAGTTGCCGTCTGGGTGATTGTAGTGGTGGCAGTCTCAGTCACGGCTGCAGTGATGGTCGAGTTGATAATCTCCGTAGCGTACGAGGTCGTGGGGACGACCTCGGTTGTGTAAATGGTGGTCGGAACTGTGGCAATGTTGTACTGAGTGGACTCAATGACGGCAAACTGAGTGTCGTAGATGGTCGTGTCAACGACGGCTGTGGCAGTGGTGTAGATGGTGCTTCCGATGGTTGTGGTCTCGTCAACAGTTTGTACGCGTGTTTCGGTCGAAAACTCCGTGGCATACACGACTGTAGGCATAGTCGTCGTTTCGTCAAGGAAAACCGTAGAAACCTCTGTCGTGGTCTCGTAAGCGGTACTAGGTAAAGTTGTGACATCCGTAAAGGTCGAGTAGACGGTAGTAGGCTCGCCGGTCACGGTAGGAGTGTAAGTGACGGTCTCCGAAGCGTCGACAGTAGTACGGGCAGTGCGGGTCAGGGTCTCGGTGGCCGCAGTGGTCCTTGACGTGTAAGTCAGGACGAGGGTCTGGACCGAGGCAGTGGTCCTCGACGTGTAAGTAAGCACGAGGGTCTGGGTGGCGGCCGTGGTTCTCGACGTGTAAGTAAGGACGAGGTTCTCTGTGGCAACGGTGGTGCGAGAGGTTGCGGTAATGATGCGACTCTCAGTGGTGACGGTCGTTTTGAAGGTCTTGGTCACTGAGGTAGTGGCATCAATGACAGCGGTAATAACTCGATTGTCGAGGCCGCTAGAAACGGAGGCGGGGATTGGAACGCCAGAACCGTCTGCAGCGGCGGGGACAGCAACAGAAGTGATGGTAGGATCAACTTCCTCGGGGATCACAGACGATATCGCAGCGGCCGAGGCCATCGCCACCATGGGGAGCAGACTGACAAGAGACTTGATGAGCTGCATTGTTGCTGATATCGGATTATACACGTGTGTAAAAACAGTGTGGGATTGGGATTGAAACGAGAGAAACCTTGCAAGCACAAGTTGTTCAAAAGGAGAGTGGAAGATATAATGAAAGGAGAGCTCGTTGTCTAGCTGTGATCTGAAGAGTGTGACGAGGAAGAGATTGTGAGATGGCGGATGATCACATACTTATTATATGTCCATGTTTGAGGCTAGAGAGTCACAGATGTGTTCGTGACTTGGAGCTGAATAGGGCTCTGCATACAGACCCTTGCGCTATGAGGTGAAAAGATAGCTAGCTAGTCAACTTCACACATTGGCACACGGCTTGCGTGTGAACGACGACTATCGCTTCATGGCCTACAGCGTGCAGAAGGCGATTACGGAGCCCAAGGACCAGCCGCCGCCGCCGCCGCCACCTTCATTATCCGTGTCAGCGATGAAGCGAAAAGTTTAGCAATCCGAGCACTCGGTAATGTCTTGGTACTTGCACGTGGTGTCTCTCCGAGGACGAGAGTCACAGCACGGCAGAGTTGACCCAGTTGGGGGCACTTCGCGTATTGGCCAGTAACAGCCAGCCGCTACATCTCCTTGGATATCTAGACAGTGGTTAGCTAGGGATTGCGTGATCTGAGATGACAGCCCAAATTAGCTCAGGTTGCTTTTCATTTCCATAGCTGAGGTTAGCAAATTCTGCGGTTGGGACTGCGTCTCCGGTGTACGTTGTGCCCGAGGCGCTCGGGGCAGTGACCGGGAAGTTGGAGTAAGACATCAGCAGTTTCTTCGTTGTCATCCGATGCTGAAGTATTAATTTCGCTAACGTTAGGTCAACAAGGCTGCACCAACATTGCGGGCGAGGGAATACGGGAAGTCAATAGAGTAGAGGACCGTCCGGGCGGGAGGCGTGACGGAGCACGCTCCGCCGGAATGTGCTTACGTACCGCCTCGTTTTGTGCATAAGCCAAAGACTGTTCAGCCCGGAAGGGGTTGGCTTAGCCCCTGACTGACTGCAGGACACACACCAGGGTCGTGCAAGAGGTGAACGGCGCTATAATGTGTTTTTTCTCTAGGTTGGGCTACTAGTCCAGTTGTGGCATATGGCCAAGCCGTACTCGACAGCCAGGTTCTCTAGCCTATTTGCGGCAAATGCAGCATCTTGCGACCTCTTTCTGCCGGCCGTATTCATGCGTGCGATCAAAAGTGGCGGTGCCTCGCTTCGTAGCCCGTGATAGCACGAAAGGCTTTCCCCCCTAATATTGTCAAGTGAGACGGCCAAAGAGTGGGATACATGCATTATCACCGGCATGTTCGGATCGAGCATTTCCACGACTTCGGGCCCCACGAGGTTTGCTTCCAATATTCGGGTGTAGACGATGATGACCCTATTATTGTCAAACTTGTAGCGACATGAGTTACTTCTCGATAAGGAGGTAGGAGCCACAACGATGAAGGTCTACAAAGGGAATTTGTTTTGAATATATACATTGAATATGATTTTTATTACTTCCGCATTACGAACCGTTTGTCTATACAACAACGCCTTTGAATAGATTTTAAACAAAATTGAGTCATCATGAGCATGAATCAGATATGAGAATTTCGGTCGAATTTTCAAGGTTGAGGTACACGTATTGGTGTCTCTGGCAATTGCGACTTCTGCCAGTCATCATCAAAGCACTTCAGGCGGCGATGGAGGACGTGATATGGGACTTTGCGGCCGCTGCACCCCACCCTTTCCTTCTTCTGCCTTCGACAGCTCGTCCTTGGCTGGTGTAGCTGGCACGGACGACGCCGTGACGCCTGACATGCCCCAGACGGCATTGCCGAGGTTCATAGCAACGGCTGAGAAGATGATGATGGACATGAACGGCGAAACGAGTTTGTTGACAAAGAACCCAAGAACAATCTTGTGGGCTCGTTGGCGCAAGGAGGGCTCCACGGCCAGGCAGATACAGAACCAGATGACAGGGAACTGTCCGACCACGAGAAGTGGCAGGATGTCCCAGATGCTGAAAGCGGTGACGAGCGCGCGGATGAAGAGGACCGTGTTGAGCACACGGTAGTAGACAAGCGTCTGGCGGGCAATGTCGATGGCCGCGGCAATCCGTGTGATCAAGATCATGTTCTCGCCGGCACAGTAAAAGTAGTTGTTGAAGTAGGCGTTGGAGCCCCATCGTCGACGCTGGTGGACGTAGTGCTTGAATGACTGAGGAGCCACAGTCTCCGAGACGGCGTCGGGCACGAATATTGTGCGTAGCTTCTTATCCTGGCTGAGCATGCAGTACGTGAGACGACGGTCTGTACCGAGGTTTTGGACCTGGTGATGAACGACCCAGTCCGCCTTCACTGGACGGGCGTACTTTGCGATTGCGCCGGCCATCTCCTTGCGGACAGCAATCATGGTAACGCAGCCAGGCAGGCAAGTGACCTTGCCGATAAAGCCCTCGGCACGGCGACGGACGAACTGGCCAAAGGTGTACTGGAGCTGCTGGTAGAGGTTCCAGAACGACCACTCAAACCCGGGCTCAAGCTCCACAAGGACGAGCCCGCAGGTCGCGATGGCGTTCTTGTCGCGTGCTAGGGCATTGGCAAGCTTGGCCACGCAGCCTTTGTGAATGACAGAATCGGCGTCGGTGCAGAAGACCATGTCGAACGCGCGGAAATTGGTGCCTTCGGTCAGCTGGGGAAGGATCGTGCCCCAGATTTCCTGGCGAAGGAGGCGCGTGTATGTGGGCATGTTCTCGCGAGGCGCGTTGAAGAGGTCGTGAGTGAGTACGAGTGAATCCTTCTTGCCGCTGTTTTTCACCTTCTCAATGACAATGACGGGCACATCTTGCATGAAGCCGGCTGTGATCTTGAGGTCGCTCTTCTTGTATTTGAGGGAGTGGTAGGGGCGTTCAAAGTCGGCAACAATGCGCGAGAACTCGCTCTTGATATTCCTCGGCTTCCCGTCCAGGACGATGCACATAACTTGACGGTGCGGATCGCAGCCATTATCGCGCAGAGAGTAAACCGTCTTGATGAGCTGTTCCTCACTCTCCGAGTAGGCGGGGATCAGTGAGAGGATCCAGCGTTGAGAGACCGGCGCCGGCGGGCGGAAGTGATAGTAGATGGAGGTTCCGGTGAGGCAGATCAGAGACAACACCGAGGACACGAAGTCCTTACACTTGACGAATAAGATGAAGACGAGGGTCGCCAAGCCGACGTTTCCGAAACAAGCGATCGCAGCGAGGCTGATGTTGAGAATAGTAACGAGAAGGATGAAGAAGATCCTCTGCGTCGTGAGTTGTCTCGGAGTGAGCTTTTTGCCGGGGTTGGAAGGGTCGGGAAGAATAGGCCAGCCGTATTCGGTGACAAACTTTGACGGTTTCTCAACGAAGCCGTCGTCCTGGCCCAAACCACTGGCACCAGTCTTGCGCTTAGGGTTTCCATTGGTGTACCGGGATGAAAACGAACTTCGAGCAGTGGTCGGCCGGCTGTCACTGGCGGCGGAGTAGGTGTCCCATTCACCCTGACTCCGCCACGAGTTCGGTGTCCCGGGGCGGGATATATGGGAAGGAGGATGAGTAGACGATGGACGCGTGTCCAGTTGTGGAGAGAGTGTTTTGACGGTCCAACGCTTGTCCTCGGTATGGACAGCGATGGGCCGCGAAATCTCTGGCCGGGTCATGGTCTTGTGGATATTTGTGAGAGAGTGGCTAGGATACAGAGTATCCCTGTGAAAGAGCGGCACCGACAAACTGTCGGGAGTAAAGGAACGGAACACCACGAGCGGCGAGGTTTGGAAACTGCTATCCAACGAAAGACAAAAAGGAATAGGGAAACATCGTGGGTGTTCCAAGAGACCACATTGTTTTTAATCAGCTAGATCAGGGCGGAATTAGGTCCATACGCTTCCTTGGGGGTGAAGTGAGAACGATTCTCATCGCAAGCCGAACGCCACTCGACCAGGGGAGTCTTGTTATTATTGGAATATGTAAAATTATTCCTTGCCAGCTGCGACCTGGGATGAGAGGGACTGCTACCTGAGGCGGCATACAACCACTTGCGGTGGATGTACGGTCGGTCACTCAGCCGGGGACTAACAAGGGCAAGCAACCAGTTCTCAATCAGGAGATGGAGTCTAGTGCTGCAAATCTTCAAGTATATCTGCCAAAACTTGAAGTCCGAGATTTGGCTGTCGATTTAGAGGCTCGCTTCATTCCTTGGCAGGTGGTTTGTTTTCTTTTTGCTGACAGATAATGTAGTTGATTGGTTCGTATACCTACTCTAGCACCGTATTTTCGGCTCTCGACCTGTCTGAGCACATAGTGCCAGTTTGAGCGCAGTGCACTGATGTCGCCATCGGAACTCGAACGATACTGGATTTCAGGTCTGCCTGTCAGTCAAAGTCTTCCCTTTATTTCCAAGAAGGGCTAGTATCAGTTGAAGGCTGTCGACCTTCAAGCTGTTGTCAGGAGGAGACTAAGGTGCTACTGCATAGTTATTGGAGGCATGGCTGTTGGTAGCGGTAAGAAGCAATCCCAAGGTTGAGAATCTGGGGGATTGTTAGCCGCGGCTGAAGCGCTATGCATTTGTCGGGGTCCGGTATGGCCGGCAGAAGTGTGGCTGCAGGGATTGACGCCTCAAAAACCATTGCACGTTGTAAGAAGAACCTAGTTATGCTTAAATGCCAAGAAACTAAAACATAGACTAGTTGGTTGGCGTGAGGCTTGACCGACATTCGCGAATCCCGTGTGTGGCACTGGCCTCATGATTACTTGTGAAGTAAGTTTGACTAAGCTTGCGTTGACAATATTTTTGCCATCTATCTCTGTTAAATGCCTGAAAATTTACGGGAGGGAACAAAAGAGTGGCTAGCGTGATTCCGCAGTTGATACATGAAGAAGAATGCAAGGTTAAGATGGGCGAATATGAGCGATGGTATAGTAAAGTTTGCATAGCTATTGTGTAATCTCTAGGAGGTAATAGAGGATAATCGTTGTCGTAGAATTGGCATAGCGGCAAAGTTCTATCCATTGCAAGGCAATGTGGTTGATGTCTCAAACACAGATCCTGACCTCATGGCCTTGGCTGGATATACGCTGATCCTATTATGTCCTAGACTTCTGGGACTGGATTATTCGGCGACTGCCCTCACTGTCGACAACAGCATTCATCAGGCACGTGCATGCTAGCATGGGCCAGTCACGGAATACCCGTCCGGCTGGAATGGGATCATCTAGCCAAGCCATGTATGTCCCTGCGCAAATCTTGAGAAGAAACACGGAGCCCCTTATCCACTCATCATCAGCCTGTCGATCAGGAGATTTGTCCATCAGGTGACCCTCTCTTCTCAAAGTTGTCAAGAGGTGAATTGATTTCATGCCCAAGAGGCAATGACGTATGTAGGGAAGTATGAGGAGATATTAGTGGCATAGATTCGACGGTTCGCAGTAGAGTAGAGGCATAAGTGAAAAGTCATTCTCACAAAGGGCCGCGGTGTAGGGCTCGCGTCACTTTGGTTGTCATGACGGCCACTTGTACGGCCACTTCGTCTTCCCTTCCCTCACACCGAGAAGTACAAAAGAAAGGGGTCGATTCAGGAACCAAGGCCAGAAGCGGAAAGGCATCGACGCGCCATGTGGCGGCCCGGATAGCCGGGCTATGCCGGAATCGGGTACTCCCCGATACCCCCGCGAGGTGCCTTTTATGTCTTAGAAGCATACCTGGAGGTAAATATTTAACTTTATATCCATAGTAGGCTAACTACACCCTCCCCCTGCAACGTCTGCGTTGCAGCCCTGTTCAAGCAGCACCAGCTTCCAGCCCACATCCTACGGCCCAAAGTGGCAGAATTTCTTTTTCCTCGTTGGCCGCCACCATTGCCGAAACTAAGAATGAGGCTGAAAGCATTGCTACGTCGAAGGAAAGCCCTACCTTCGGTTCGTGGTCCCAGTCTGAGCGTTCGGTCTGCCCGGAGACCTGGCTCAGGTAGATCAGGGACTTGGCACAACGGACGGTCTTGCTCCTCGCCACCTACTCATGTCGACAACCTCTTCGCTGAAGGAGCGCGGCGGGGATAGGGCTCGGACTCGTGCTTCGTGCTGGACTACTATTCCGCACGCTCACCTGCAGTCTTTCGACCCACTGCTGGGGTTTCGTGACAGCTGGGTGACATGTGTCGTGGTTACCGAGTCTTGTTCGCCGGGCGTGAGCCACCAGATTGGGAGACTAGTCTAGATGTCTTTTTTGGCAACTCATCTCGTCGTAACGAGCGCTTCTTTTTGCTGTTTTGGCGCTTCGCTAGGCGACTTTCCGTCCGGCATAGCTCGCTTTGCGACAACCCCTGCTGTCTCAATCTTGTCATCCCGTCCTGCTTGCGTTTCTACCTCCTGGTGATTAGTATCCTTGGTCGTTTTTTCTGAGTAACATGAAAAAAATTTGTCATGCGCTTAATGAAGCGGCTGGCTCATCGTCGGGGAAAATTCCTCTCTCGTGGCCGTATATAACCCCCTTCTCCAAGCCCAGGTTTGAGGATTCGAATCATGAACACACTCAAGCAAGCATTTTCATCACGTTCCGTTCATCAAAGCATTCTTTTCTTGTCCCCGATACTGTCTTGGAGTTCCCATCATTCCTTATTCTACCTAGCTTGTAACATCGCCATTTCGCCATTATCATGAAGATCACCATTGATAAACCCTTCACTCACAGCCGTAGCCTCTCTGTGCCGGTTCCTGAAACACCTCCTTTGGAAGCACTGGGCCTCGGATTGCCTGGCTTCGACTCATTCAAGTCTACCATGGAACTCCCGCTGACGCCTGTCACGCCTCCCCCCGAGTATATAGAGCATTCCTTTTTGCACAACGACAAGACCATCGACGTCTCCCCCACAGTCGACCCTAACGACCAGCCTCTTGTTGCCGTCATCGGTGTCGGCTACGTCGGCACCCACTTGGTAGAATCCTTCTCGGCCCACTACAACGTCCTTGGCTTCGACGTTTCCGAGAGGAGAATCAACGAGATTCGCAAGGAGCTCCCCAGCGAGCGCATCCGTTTCACCACTTGCAAGACGGACTTGCGCGAAGCAACCCACTTTTTGATCTCTGTGCCGACCTTGCTCAAGGTAGACAAGAGCATCGACACCTCGTACCTCCAGAGCGCCATTGCTACGGTCGCCCAACATGCCAGGCCGGGCTCGACCGTCGTCGTCGAGAGCTCCGTGGCCGTGGGCATGACCCGCAGCCTGCTTGGCCCCGTCGCCCTCTCTCGCGGCTTCTACGCCGGCATGTCACCGGAGCGCGTAGATCCTGGCCGCACCGAGCCGCCCTGCCACGCGATCCCCAAGATCGTCTCGGGACTCGATGACTCCATCCCCGGCTCTCTCGCATCCATCATGCGTCTCTACGGCCAGGTCTTTGACCGGCTCGTTCCCGTCAGCCGCACCGAGGTCGCCGAGATGATGAAGCTCTACGAGAACTGCCAGCGGATGATGTGTATCGCCTTTGCAAACGAGATGGCTGACGCGTGCATCCCTCACGGCATCGACCCTTACGAGGTCGCAGCCGCCGCGTCTTCCAAGCCCTTTGGCTACATGCCCTACACGCCCTCGCTGGGCGTCGGCGGCCATTGCATCCCCGTCAACCCCTATTACCTCCTGTCGAACAGCGACTTCCCCTTGCTCGGGGCTGCCGCCGAGAAGATGGCTGCCCGCCCCGCTGCCATCGCACGACGCGCCATTGCCTCTTTGGCGAAGGACGCCAAGACAGGGGCTGCTCCGGCCCTGGTCCGCCCTCGCGTGCTCGTCGTCGGTGTCGGCTTCAAGGCCGGGCAGTCCGTCCTCAGCAACTCTCCAGGAGTCGACCTCGTACACGAGTTTGTCCGCTCTGGAGAGGTGGATGTCATGTTCGCGGACCCGCTCGTGAAGCAGAACGCCGTGCCAGCAGCTCCTCGGCTGGCTGACGAGAAGTGGAACCGGGAGACGCTCGAGACGTTTGACATGATCATCGTGTCCTTCAGGCAGCATGGCATGGACTTTGGCGTCTTGGAAGACCTCCGCGGCGTCAAGGTCGAGATGTGGTGCACCTAAGCTTTTTTCTTTTTTTCCTTTTTCACATCTATCTACTTCAAAGTGGCCTTGCTTCTTTGATCGCCAGTGCTAAGAGGGGGCAACGGGGGCATGGAGTCTATACGCATACTACTTGGATCGCAACCAGGCAGTCTTTTGCATGTTTCACAACTTAAAAAGGGAGAACGAGAATACTGTAGACAATTTGCATACCTCGGCGACAGGGTTTAATATTAATTAGATCTCTTTTACTACGTGCTTGGCCCAGTTTGAAAACAGTGACTCCCCCAATCTTTCAATCTATGTTCACCTCCCTTCTCTTTGATTATATCAATACGTAATTACCCACTAGGATCAAAAGAAATTGATGTAATCCTCAGATCGCCAGGATTGAGGATATGAATCTCATGCTCGGAGGTCTTCCTGGGTGGGAAATAAGGCATCGACGGTAATAAAGGCAGAAAGCGCAACCCCTTTGGCTCCAAAGATATCCCTGTCTACCTTGGTAATCAATCAAACCATGATAGTTTGAGATATGGTGTGTTTTTTAGGTGAATACCTAGTTAATATCTAAGTAGCAACAGCCTTCAACATGAACATCGTTGAGGTCATTGGGACCCGGAGATTGGGGTTGATAACCGCCTCAACCCTATTCAACTAGCAATCGCCACCCGTGACTATTACTGGTTCCAAAAAGAGGTTCTCAATATCCCCGAGCGATTTGGCTACTTCTCGTCCAGAACTCCCCGCCTTCAAGTCTATCAAGGTTGCCCATATGCTCTCCAGGTTTATGTGTGGCTGTTTGGGGCCTCTCTACGGCGTTGATCATCCTCTGGCTTAGGTTCTTAGATATTCTCTAATCGCGAATATCACAGAGGCAGCAGCATTTATGGCACTTACCGTGGTCTCCACGTTATGGCTTACATCATACCTCAACAACATATGAGACTTTGGATGGAGGGGATGGAAGTTGCGTGAGGAATGATGTACTTTACTCGGCTGTTCGGGGCGTTTGCATACATTCTAGTATCATGTGGCAGGAACATTTTGCTTGATATTCGGCCATCCTTCTCGTTGTCTCCTCAGTAATTTTTCATGTCTTTCTCTCCGTCGATATCGCCATCTGATGCTAGACTTTCCCTTCCATTACTGTTTCGCAAGTCAAGGTTTCTCTAAGCTTGACCCTCCCAAGCGTGTGGAAGAGACGCATCAGACCCAGTAAGCCTGGACCTTGTTATCGTTGGTCTCTGCACGCCATTCTTCAGGAGTAGATAGTCAGGCTCTCTTGCAGCTCACGATTTTCGGTGATAATAACGATCTTACAACTTCCCAAGGAATTACCAATGGCCAAAGTAACAGGTGAAGTGACCTTTAAGTATGGCCTGCACCTGAACGACAGTCATGTATATGAGCCCTGCTAGATCTCACCATCTGGGTAGATACAGTACAAAATTCCTGACGGCATAAGGCAATTGCTTTAGACGTCATTCTAAATCATCACCAGAGGATTGCCGTCAAGGTTGGAAATGGGGCGTTGACTGCCAAGACTGCCATGTGTACACCAGAACGAAGTCCCAAACACTTCCGCCCACCACCGTCTTGCCCCCTCCCTCTCCGGGCCGGGTCGACGTCCTTGAAGGTCGAGCCGGCGGCGATATCGTCGAACCAGACCTGGCGGATGGTGCGGTTATCCAACCACAGAGGCGTGGTTCATTTTGGTCGTGTTCTTCAGAGATGTGAGACATGGCATGAGCGACGCTCGCGGCAGCCGTCTCCAAAGATGTAGAGACATTATAGAATATTCTGTCCCCTTGCCACCACCGTTAGCTGTAAGCGCAGGTCAATGAGCTGCACCTCATCCGTTTGATTACATACACAAGGTAGTGTCTACAGTAGATGTTTTCTTGCGGACATTTCCACCTTCCTTCTTGGGTTACCTTGACAATAACCCCTGCCAGCGCAACGGATTCGCCGTGCAGAACGTTCCTTCCAACGAATGATGACTACCTCCCCCCCGCGCAAAACTCGACGTCAGCCGCACTGCCACTGCCCAGCCTTCTCTTTCGCATCTCAGCCTACATCCTCCGGGGCAACAGTACTCAGCACACACCACGAGAGTTCGTTCCAACATGATGCTGACGCGCAGCGCCGCGCTCATCGGCGTGACAGCGCTGCTGCTCCGGCTCGCCACGGCCCAAGGGCCCTGCTACTACCCCGGCGGCGACCGGAGCGCCGACGTGCCGTGCGACGCAAAGACGGCCGCGAGTGTCTGCTGCGCGTCGGCGGACGCGTGCCTTCCCGACGGCCTCTGCCGTCTCGACGACGACGACGATGCGGCTCGGGACATGATCGGCTATGCCCATGGGACGTGCACCGACCCCAGCTGGGCGAGCGACGTCTGCTTCCCGCAGAATCTACTCGGTAAGCCCCCCCCCCCCCCCCCCTGACTTATTTCTTCTTTTGCAGTCTTTTACACGGACCTGAATGGCTGACGGGGAGGGAAACAAGCCCAAGATAGCCACAGTTCCCGGGCGTCCTCGTTCGTCGCGAGACGCGGGCCGGAGACGACGGCAGCGGCATCTCCCACGGGCGGGTCCTCCGGCTCCAGCGGCGGGCTGGGCACCGGCGCCAAAGCCGGCATCGGTATCGGTGTCGCGCTCGGGATCGTCGCGCTCGGGGCGGCGGGGTACTTTCAACGACGGGCGAGACTGAAGAGGCGGGCTTCGGGCACCGCGGACGCGGGCGACGAGAAGAGCGGGCAGCACGGCTACGAGATGGACGAGGCGACGGGCAACGGACACGGTGGGGAAAAGACACCGCCTGTCATCTGCGAGGGCGGGACGTGTAGTAGGTTACGGATGGTGGGCGCTTGAAGCAGCATAGTCTCAAGTACCGATCAAGGAATTATGCGGGCACGACAAAAAGAAACAGTTTCGTTGGGTACACTCTTCGATGGCGATAGGTTGACAGGTGTACACACATGTCCATGGGTGTATCAAGAGGACCAAATGAGGGTTGAGCAGTGCCAACAATCATGACCGCGATTGTCCGCTCACATCTGTGGTCCCGCCAACACCCGAAGCAAAATGCGCGATGGAAATAGCTCGGATATCAGATAAGTCTGGTAGGCGCTAGTGGGTGTGGGCCATGGAGACGCGGCTACGTGGATGCAGGTGATAAGGCGGGAGGTTCCAAGAGAGAGAGTATCGGACGAGTGCCCGAGCATCAAGATTACGTCAAGACTGGCCAAACCAACCACCCGCAAAGGACCCATGTGCTTATTAGAGGCCAGATAATGTCGTGGGCTGGACCCACGCAGAGCTGCGTCCGGGAGACATCACAGTTACGACGGCAATTGAGGAATCCACCGGGCAACGGACCTCAGAAAGGAGGCAAAGGCCGGCGATGACGTCGGGAAATCACGAAAGTACGCACGCTAAGCCGACACTTTGACAGGTTTGCAAGGGGAGAATCGGCGGGTTCGCGTCCCCAGCCCCGAGGTTCCGGTCCTTAAGCGTGTTGGCTTGCGGGCCGGCCTATACCAAGATGGACTTGAGCTGGGCTGGGCAGGTCGAGGAAGGGGGATCCAGCAAGCCAACGGGATCCGACAAGGAGGATTTTCGGCCCGAGTCTGGGGGAGGGAGTGCTGGACGTGGGGCCAAGAGAGGGAAGGGGGGGGAGCAAGGGGCAAGACGGACAGACCTGGACTTGTTTATTTCATTTGCATTCGTTTTGTCGTTTCATGGATGGTAGTTTCCAGGACAAAGAAAAAAGGGAGAAGGATAGTGGCAGCTCAACGCCGACATCTGAGACAACGGTTGAGGTTCGATGGAAAAAGAAAGCATGATTGGTGCTAGGAAGAGGACGGACGGGCTTGTGAAGGTTTGAGAAGAAGAAAGTGTGGTGGTGAGAGGAGGCGCAGGTGATGCAAGGCGGGCTGGCTGGCTGGCTGTGCCTCACCGCTGGAGCCCGCACCCGAGGATATCCACAATAGGGTGGGGCGGGAAACATGGGATGGGAAAGAGCCGAAATGAGCAGATCGGGTTCATGATTTGACGACCTTCAGTCGGGCTTTTTATTGTGATGGTAAGTGGAGCGTGCGTGAGTGCGTGCATGCATGCATGCTGCGCGAGGGGATCGGGTCATATGCGATGATGAGGTGTTATATATGAATGAGTAAGTGAGGGAGTGAGAGTGAGTGAGAGTGAGTGAGAAAGAGAGTTACGAGGTGCATGAGTCTAGCCTGATGCAAGGCAGCAGCTAGCTGCACACGACATTGATTATTCGGGTTGGTAGCGTTGCTGGGGGCAGCGGGATGACTTGCAGTGAGGCCATTGGCGACGTTGCGGTAACATGCGGCGCGACGGGATGCGATGCGATGCGATGTTGTGTTGTGTCATGCCCATGTAAACAAAGCAAATGCTCCGATGCGCTACCAGAACCAGAGCTGCGGGTGATTGATGGTGTGCGTTTGCGACATTGCGGCATTGCGGCATCTGTTTGATCGTCCATGTTTGTCATTCAAAATAGGGCAGCCCTACCACTGTGAATACAGAGGTACGTACGTACGATGCGACTCGTCCATCTCGAGGTCCCGTCAAGTGTCAAGTCCATGTGGGAAAGGCGCAATGCGGCCTTCATCGTCATTGAACCAAGAACCAAGAAACCAGCCCACGCGACACCTTCCCCCTCCCACTTCCCCAGCCTTCAACATTAACAGACAGACGATAAGATAATCCGAGATGCTGCGGCTGCTCGCCCTTTCCCACGTTTGAACGGGGTACAACGACGCTAGCCTGTCAGCTTAACTAAGACGGACCAGGGTATCATGCCTCCTCTCAACAAACAGCCACACTACGGAGTATACTAGGTAGTAGCATACAGTATACGAACCAACCGGTAGCTGCGTGGCGCTACTACCGGTTACCTATAGCACCACCGATTCGCACTTTCTACTAATAAGAGGTGCAGCAATGGTGGGCAGTAAGTACGGAGTACGGAGTACGTGGTACCGGTACGGATACTATACGGGAAATTGGCCAATGGCGGGGTAGCTGTTTCCCAAAACCCACTACCAAAGACAGCGCAGCTTTTGGCTCCGTCCGAAGCAGTACGTACCGCTTGGAACAAGGAAGACAGACGGAAGCACCAGCCAGGGTCGGATAGGGCAGGGATAGACAGGGACGAGCAGGGAAGATCAACAGACAACAGGGATGCGGGACGTTGCCGTGGATACCGTCCCACCTCGCGAGCCTGAAAGCGGGAAAATACCAGCCTCGACCATTGCCGCCCGCCCACACATCACATCTGCATTGCATCTCTCGCCAACCGGCGATTCATCACGCAGCTTGCATCTTCGTCTCGTCGCCATCCATCTTTCTCTCCCTCACCTTCTTTTCTCTCCCTCTCTTCCCACCCCCCTTTCCCACCTTCAACGCCGCCCACCACATCGTCAAGCAGGTCCCGGTTCGCAGTCTCGGACAAATCTCTTCGCCTTCACAAGATCCAAAGAGACTGCAGGTTGATCTCTCACCTCTCCTTTAATCCCCCTTGCCGGACGATGCACTACTCGCCGCACGCCTCTCGGTGATCCTTCGCAATCCATCGTCGTCGCCTGTCGCAAAGAGGCCAGCCAACAAAGGAACTCGTCTGCCCATCGTCACATACACCCCGAGGCAAAGTAAACAACAAATCGACTTGCTCGGTTACAGCCCCCCCCCCCCCCCCGTCGATTTCGCAGCAACCTGCATCGCTTCCCCGCTACTGTGAATAGCATCAACAACCGAACCAGCCTTTGCGCTGCACCCACTCTTTTTTACTGCCTAGCCTACAAGAATCCCCCGCCACTGCAATAATCGCAACCAAGTACACACTACCTATACCCCCCGCAGCAGCCCACCCACCTTTTTGTTTCGCCCGTCTCCCTATCCTGGGTTTCCCTTTTGTCGACATAATTCGCCATGGACACCGGTTACCTGTCTCAGCAGGTCAACACCATTATCGACCAGCTGCACGGTCTGTTTGATGAGATTGGCGTTCCCAACCATGATCGCGAGAAGCGCGAGGAAGCCGTACGCCTCTCCCGCACCTCTCCCACGTGCTGACTTTACTGACCGCTTTCTGCTACAGCTCTTCGAGGCCCTTTCCAAGACCCTCACCGATCAGGTACACATCGTGACCAGCGAAAAAGAGGACATGATTGAGGAAGCCGAGCGCATCATCACCACGATTCAACAAATGGAGACATCGCTCGACGACAGCCGCGCCCGTCGTGGCCCAAATGAAGACCTTCAGATCACATATCCCCTGACGCGCTGTTTGCAAACGCTCAAGGAGAAGCATAAGCAGATTGCCCGCTTGCACAGGGAGCGTTTCGAGCAGGTCAAGAGTGAGTCGGTCCAGACATGACGCGACACCGTTTGGGCATCCTGCTAACGGTTTCTTCAGAACTTGTCGAAGCCCTGGAATCATACTCGTCCCACCTCGAAGCGACGTTTGTCCAGATTCCCCTACCCCCCACCGGTCCGAACCAGTCCATCCCGCCCAACTTCGATCTGTCACCCGCCTACGTGGACAGGCTCGACCGTGAGTTCACGAGGGTGTATGAAGAGTACACTCGCCGCATCGCCACGGTCAAGTCCGTGTGCGAGAACATCATCCAGCTCTGGGCCGAGCTGGGTACTCCTCAAGCCCAGACCGACAGCGCCATTGTCAAAAACTACCGCGACTCGCCCGAACAGTTGGGCCTGCACCAGGAGGATCTCGACCGACTCAAGGCGAAACGCGACAAGCTGTCGGACGAGAAGAAGAACCGCGAGAAGCGCCTGAAGGACCTCAAGGCGGCTGTCGAGGCCCTCTGGGAGAAACTTGAGGTGGACATGGGCGAGAGGAAGGCCTTCCTCAACAGCAACCGGGGCTGTGGTGTGAGGCAGATTAACGAGTTCGAAGACGAGCTGAACCGCTTGAACGAGTTGAAGCGACAGAACCTGCACTTGTTCGTCGAAGACGCCCGCTACAAGCTGCAGGAGTTGTGGGATGCTCTGTATCTCTCCGAGGACGAGATGCTCGAGTTTACCCCCGCATTCTCCGACGTGTATAGCGACGCCCTTCTCGAGGCCCACGAGCGCGAGATCCAGAGACTGGAGGTTCTCAAGGAGCAGCGCGCGCCGACACTCGAGCTCATCGACAGGCACAAGAGCCTGACCCAGGAGCGGGACGAGCTGGCAGCATCCAGCCAGGACGCCTCTCGTCTGATGATGCGAGGGCAAAAGGGCGAGAAGCGCGACCCTGGCAAGCTACTCAGGGAAGAAAAGATGCGTAAGCGCATTGCCAAGGAGCTCCCCAAGATCGCCGCCGATCTGCGCAAGACGCTGGAGCGCTTCGAGGACGAGTACGGACGACCGTTCCTCGTCCACGGCGAGCGATACCTGGATGTCCTCGAGGGAGAAGGCAGACCGGCCCCCGGCCCGCGATCCAAGACGCCCGGCGTCGCAGCGACTCCGGCGTCCACCACGAGACCCAAGGGACATGCCAGGGCCAACAGCACGACCGGCACGGCCAGACCTCCAACGCGGAACGGCGCCAGGACGCCGGCTCCTACGCCTGCACCCATCTCAATCAAGCGCTCCAACACCAACAACAGCATGACCAGCACAAGCCAGACCAGGCCCGTCTCTGCACATGCAAAAAGCCAGGAAATACTCCGCCCGGGTTCTGCCATGGGCTCCGTTAGAGAGCGGGCGCAGACTCTCAACAGGCCGCCGGGCAGCCCTTCAAGAATCCCGGCGCGCCCCCCGCTGGCGAACCTCAAGTACGGCAACACCTCTCCCGAGAGACCGGCTTCTCGGATCGACGCGTACGCAACGGTCCGCGGTGGGGGTCAAATGCGTGCTCCCCCGCCAAGGATGCGGGATCTGAACACGGTGGAGCTCGAGATACCCGCGAACCCGTACAAGTCGGCGGGACTGAGTGGCAGCATTGTGCGGCAGGTCGAGCTGGAAGACCCATATGATGATGACTGCCAGCATTCGTCTCTGATGAGAGCCAACTCAACCTTATCGCACGCATCACATGCCTCGCATGCCTCGCACGCCTCGCACGCATCGCATGCGTCGTACGCTTCCAAGAGCTCTCATCACTCGGCCGGTTCTTCTCAGCACGAATACCACTCTTCGACCCTACGCCAATACCCTGCCTCCTCATATCACCAAGCGCCGCCACCCCGACAGATCTCCAACTCTTCCAACGGATCTAGCAACGTGACTGGCTCGGAGAACTGGGAAACGTACGACGACGCCAGCGAGCCTGAACAAGACGTCACGGACACGTACTACGCCAAGGTGCGGGCGGCCCGCGGCAAGCCCATGGAGCTGGAAGGGGGGTACCGACCGCCGGCGATTGATCCCAAGAGACAGCGGCCTTTCCCGATGACGGCACCTGGCGGGCATGTGTACAGCGACGGCGAGGGCAACCGCATCATCTCGGGCAGCGAGTGGACAGACGAAGACGGATACTGAAGAAGAAGAAGGAAGCACGGCGTCTTTTGACGTCTTGGTGCCGTTCTATGCCAGTCCTGAATCTTCTTCAAGCTGATGATAATGTCGGATGATTACGCTTCTTACGTCTGAACGATGCATTCGGTCACGACACATGTCTCCCCCCCTTTTTTTCCGTTTTTACTGTTCGACGGCGATGCCGTCGAGGATCTCCCGGTGTCTGCTGCGGACGCTTCTTGGCTTCTACTTCTCGTGTCGTTAGTATCTGTCTGATTGTGCTTGAGAGGAGACGACGGGAGCGGAGGACCATGCCGGGGATTTGCAGGTTCTTGTCTCCGTGCATATGGGATTGGCGTGGGCCGCGAGGCTTGATTTCTTCTTGGTCTCATTTTGGAGGTTTTGTGCTCAATGGCCAACCCGGAAAAACTCTCCCCGATCATCAACAGCCGCAACGACTGTTCACCTTTTTGTTTTTTGTCGGAAATACATACCCCCCATATTTGGGTAAATTTTTCCCTAGTAATCGAAGCAAAGGGAAGGATGGGTGGCATCGGAGTTCTTGGTTCTTTCATGGCGTCTAGATGGCCGCTTCGGGCCTGGATTAGGAGCGGACCTCGTCTTCCTGGTCTCTTTTTTTCTGCCAGCTTTTGTTTCCCCCTGTTTTGCCTGTTTTGTCCTGCCTGTGTCTGGCCATCAAGCATAAGAGGTCTATTTTCTTTTTCTGCTGCTTCTTCTCTAGTGTAGGAAATGGAAAAACGAGATGATGGATAGACACATGACTCATTCTCATACCTGTCGATTACCTGACTCTCGATATGCCGATGATTCGGGGTTCGGGCCAAGTGTATGCGGTACAGCCAGTAGGAACAATGCAAGACGAAGGCAGCGGTGACAGAAATCTGGTCAGACAAAGGACGACGGGAGCTAAGAGAGGCAAGACGGAAGGATGGACGGACAGACGGGCGGACGGCGTAGCTGTCAGGTTCCAGGGCAGGGCGAGTTGGGCAAGGAGGAGGGAAGGGATATGCCGCGCGCCACGGTGTTTATAAGGGAGAAGCGACGGGCCAGCTAGCTACCTACAGTAGATCACTACATTACCTACCTAGCTAGGTAAGTAGCTACTAGATACCTAGGTGGTGTAGCTACCCAGTTGCTCGGGTTCCGCTATTATGACGCCGGTGATGTCGAGATCTTCGGTGACGTTCCTTGGTGTTTGTTTGTGTGAGTGTGTGTGCGTCATTTGTCCGAGACAGCACCCGCTCCCCCCCCCCCCACAGCTGTGTCTCGGCCCTCTGTCTCTGGTACCGAGTTGGGTAGGTGTGTACCTAGAGGACTCGGGTGACAGAAAACAGAATGCATTTTGGCGGTGGTTGCTGGTAGGAAAAGGCGCCCTATTCTTGGTACTGATAAACCCGAGTGTAGGTAGGTATTGAGTGAGGGTGTATCCGTACATTGCAAAACCTGTACGACCTTACGGGGGACCGCCTTGTAACAGTACCGCAGTTCTGTTATGTTCAGGACTTTCCCTCGCTGGAATAAGCCGTGTCTCAGCCTTATAGGTGCTCCGAGGGAGGGCCCTACGCAGAATGCTCCCCCTTCCTGCAAGTCGACGAGCTACCCGTTCGTTCCATCTTGTACCAATGTTCCCACTCTCGTTCTCCTTGTGTCAAGTTCATCCCCGTCTATCCGGCCATCAAAGGTCATCCATCCCCCCCCCCCTCCCTGCGCGCATCTCCGCAGGAAGCTGGAGCTCAGCCGCCGGGATGCGAATGTGATCCATTTCCACACTCTCGTTCTGCCTACCGCCCAGCCCGACCGGATCCGAGAGAGGGCATCGAACCTTCTTCGCCAGCCTCCTTTTTTATTTTATTTATTTGTTTTGTTTTTTTCGACGCCAAACAGACGCCCTCTGTCCAAATACCACGACGACAACACGTACCAATCCTGGATGCTTTGCCATCACGCGGCCACCGACCACGGTTCCCATGACGAAGCTCCCATAATGACCGAAACGTTGACGATCCATTGATTCATCACCACCCGAGCCGTCCTTTTTTTTGCTAGAAAGAGCACCCTCCGATGCTGCCTTCTCCCACCGCGACACCCCGCGGCCGTCCATCGCCACGATGATGAGCGCCCACCATAACCACCCCTCGTCCTCCTCCTCTGCCGCCGCCCGTGGTGCCTCTGATGCGGCCGCTGCCCTCAAGGGCGCGAACCTCGCTTTCAACAAGTCGAAGCCGAAGCCTATCCCGCCCCCAAAACCCACCCCCGGCCGCCGTCGCGGGACGAGCCTCATCGCCGCGTCTGCCGCCTCCGCCCATGACCGGAGCACGAGCGCGAGCCCGGTACAACGCCAGCACACGGGAACGAGCCTGGCCACGACGCCCGACGACAGGGACCGCTTCGGCCGCGACGGGACCGCTGACATGCGGGATCGTATGTCCAACTTCCTCGCCTCGAGCCCCGCTGCCGCCACCTCCACGCCCTCGCACCTGACACCGCACACCAGGCTCGACCCCAAGAGCCCGAGCTACATCGCTGCCACCCTGGCCGCGTCGCGGAGCGCCTCGCCTAGCCCGCAGCTGCACGCGAGCCCGTCCTCTCTGACGCCCGCCCAGCTGAACCAGCTGCACCAAATGCAGAACGCCCGCCTCGCCGGTGCCAAGATGGGCAGGCGCGGCAGCGCCGGGTCGTCCAGCGTCGTGAGCAGCCTCGACCTGCCCGACACGAGCTCTATACCGGCGACGAGACACCTGCTCGCCATGTTCGAGAGGGTGTCCGACGACGTCGACCCCGTCAAGCGGAGCGGCGGGGACAGCGCCAGGTCCCAGGTGCGGCCGCTGACGCCAGATAGGGACCTCAGCCCGTCGAGGGCGAAGGCCTCGAGAATGGGAATTGTGGAGGAGGAGACTGAGGGGGCTGGCGCCCAAAGGCCCATGGTCCCCAAGCCGAAGCTGCGGCCTGTAACGCCTGTGACTGTCGACGGGCTAGAACCCATAGAGGAGGTTACGCCGCAGGCGAAGGGACCCGCGCCGAAGCCCGTCAAGCCCGTGAAGCCTTTGCTCTCGCCGGCGAGGATCTCTCCCAAGCGGTCCGAGCCCGAGCAGCTACCGCCGGCCATAAAGACGCAGCCTGCCGTGGCGACAACGCCGATGTCTCTGGAGGTGCCAGAGGTACGGTCAAAGTCACAGCTCACGCGGGTTCCCATCACGCAGACCACGAGTCCCGAGTCGAAGCCGCTGCCGCCCGCCACCCCCGAACCGAGATGGTCGCGGCCCAAGGCTCAGCAGACCGCCCCCAGCTCGCCGCCGGTGATCAAGAGGGCAGACACCGAGGTCGTCTCCCCCAAGCCCACGAGGCCGGCGTCCCGGGCCAAGCTGCGGCCCCCGACACCTCCACAACCGCGGGGCACGGGTGGGAAGCCCAGAGAAGCAGACGCGCCGCCGCTCAACGAGCCCCGAAGTATAGCATCGATTTATGGCAATGGCCCTTTGCAGGAGCCGTTCCGTCGCTCCGATCGCGAGGCTCGGCCTTCTACTGCTGATACAAGCTCCTCTAACGACACGTTTGTATCGGCTGAATCAGGCCAGACAGCCGTACCCCATCACGCCCCTCTCGCGGTCCCTTCTCCCCGTCCGGTATCATCCACCCAGAGCACTCCCGGGCGCTCCTCGGCGAACAGCTCACCGAGCCATACGGCCCCTTGGCGCACCCCGGCCTCTTCCAACACGAACCTGCCGCTGAGCGCTCTCTCGAACGCCATCATGGCCGGATCCCTCGCCGCGGCACGCCTTACGCCCTCCAACACGGGCAACTCGGCGCAGCAGCAGCAGCAGCGGACAAGGTCGCCGCGTCTGCGGCAGACGCTGCGGCGGCCGCCGTCCAAGTCGGACGACGAGGATGAGATCCGCAAGAGGAGGCACCAGCGGGCGAGCAACAAGCACTCGCACCGCGAGGGGGCGCGGCGGCGGTGGCGCGACGAGATCACCCCCCGCGAGCGTCGGCGGTACGAGGCCGTGTGGGCAAGCAACCGCGGCAGGCTGCTGCTCAACCCGCCGGGCCCGTCGCCGCTGCAGCCTCCGACGGCGGCGGCGCCGACCGATGCTGGCGACTGCGTGGTCAACGTGGTGGCGCGGGAGATCTGGCGCCGGTCGCGGCTGCCGGCGGAGGAGCTCGCCGAGGTGTGGGACCTCGTGGACCGGGGGCGGAGGGGGATGGTCGGCAAGGCCGAGTTCGTGGTGGGCATGTGGCTGATCGACCAGCGGCTCCGGGGGCGCAAGATTCCGGCCAGGGTGAGCGCGAGCGTGTGGGACAGCGCGCTGGGGGTCACTGTGCCGTCGCCGCCCAAGGGGAGGAAGTGACGGGTGGTCCTCCGGACGGATCCGCCCGCGAACAACGGGGAGGGGGTGATGTAGGGCGGGATGAATACAGGCGGAGGAAGATGAAGAAGAGAAAGAAGAGGATTCTAGAAGTGGCATGGCACATAGCATCTGCATCTGCGTCTTTGGTTTGCGCGCTTGCATTGATACCCCCCTCCCCTTCACACCCCCATACCCAGCCAGCCCCTTCTTGATGTAGAGTTTGACGCGTCGAGCGAATACCCATTTCTTACCTGGTCCCTCGTTGATTTCTGACATGAGTGAGCGAGAGCAAGGCATTAGCCACAGCCTGTCTTTTTTTTTTCTTTTTTTCCCCGTCCAGTGGTGCCTTCTGCACGTCGTGAAGCCGTGAATCCCAGGAAGGAGGCGCCACGGTGCGCCGCCGGTGTTCATCTCGAGTCACGAACGTGGGGGGGTAAAAAGCATGTAAACTCCCCTATCAACCAGCTGCTACACCTAGTGTATGTCGCTGTTAACCCCCTCCTCCCCCCCGCCTTGAACAGCGTCGCAAAGGCTGGCCGGCATATACCCTGCTCTTCGCCCTGCGCATCCCGCTGGGGGAGACTGTGTTCATGGCCCCAGGCGGTGTGGATCGCTGAGGGGGGTGGGGTTCCGAGGCCGGAGCCGCCTTCTTTTTGTTACTAATGTGGTCTTTTTACTTTATTTTATGAAGGATAGGGGCGACCTACATCGATTATTCAATTCGCGCAGCTCTCTCGACGAGGGGTTTCCACATATCACGATATCCTCTCTCTGCGTCGCCCTTTCCACTGAGCTGACACAAGTCCCCAAGACCTCTTCCTACTATATTCATCCATCCATTGCGTCCAACACGTCGTATTCCCTTGACAAGTCGGCCCAGCATAGACTGTGGGGGTTGGGAAAGAAACCCTTCTTGTACCCCTGAAAAGCAGCTCATTTGGTCGGCTGCCACATCACCACACCACACTCACCATCCATACCGAAACACACATAGACAATACACAGCTTTGGTTACTGCAGAAGCCCATCGAACACGCCTACAAGAAAGAAAAGAAAAAGAAAAGAAAAGATGACCATCGCGGCCCCCAAACGGTTGTCCTTCCGCCCCGCCACGCCCGCCGACGTCCCGGTCCTCCTCCCGCTCATCCGCTCCGCCTACCGCGGCGACTCTTCGCGCAGGGGGTGGACCACCGAGGCCGACCTCGTCGCCGACAAGCGCATCGACGAGGCCGGGCTCCTCGCCAAGATCACCGAGCCCGAGAGCGTCGTCCTCCTCGTCACGGACGCCGCCGCCTCGTCCCCCCTGCTGGCGTGCTGCGAGGTCGCCCGGAGCGGGACGGACCCCGCCGTGGCGTACTTTGGCCTCTTCGCCGTGGACCCGGCGCGGCAGGCCGGCGGGGTGGGGCGGGCGGTGCTCGCGCACGCCGAGGCGTTCGCGCGCGCGCGGCTGGGGGCCCGGCGGATGGAGATGTGCGTCATCTGGACGCGGGCGGAGCTGATTGCGTGGTACGTGCGGAGGGGGTACGCGAGGACCGGGGAGCGGAGGGGGTTTCCTTACGCGGAGCTCGTGGACGGCCCGGCGCTGCGGGATGATTTGTGGTTCGAGGTCTTGGAGAAGGAGTTGTGAGGGAGCGGGGAGGGTTGCGTTTGATATAGTGGATGGCGGCGGGTAGACAGAGCAGGGAAGGGGAAGAGAGTCCTTTGTGCTCACGTGGGCCCCCGGATATACAGCATATCAGCGTAGCTTTGCGCGTGTTTCGGTCTGTGGAGGGGGGTCGTTCTCATCAGACTTACACCGCGAGTGTGCAGAATGAGAGTTGGAGAGGACATGGTGCTTGGTGGAAGCCGTGGCAATCCTGCCGCGTCGACAAAGTGGCACGACAGTAGGACGAGGAGAACCCAAAGGTCGGTTATTGTTAACCTTGTTCTAAGGCGCCTGCTTCACCAGTCCCTTCCAGGTTTGAACCCCCCATTAGCAAGGCAGGCTTACAAGCACCCGATCTGCTTAAGCCTGGGATCCTTGGCCGACCCACAGTGGAACCTTGTACGTCTCGCGCTGGATATCGAAAGCTTGCCCGTTTATCATCCATTATATCATCTAAACTAGAACTCGGAGGGTTGTTTACCAGTGATCCGCTGTATTAGAGGTCCGGTAGGTCCTCCTATGCAGAGTTCGATATTCTCAAATGCTCGAGCTCAGTATTGCACCTGACTCTCGTAGGCTACACAATGCGTTCATCACCAAGTCGGCATACAATGATGAAGCTTGTCTACGATGTCCGGGATGTTATTTGTCCTCCTACCTGATCTCGTCCGTTGTGGGAGCGTCCCCATCGGCCACAACAACTGCAAGTTGGAACACGGAGACAACACAAGACTTGCCACCTAGCGCCGCCATCTGTCGAGAATTTGATAGAGAAGATGGTTTACGGAGCGTGGTGCGAAATCACATAGGTATTCTCTGCTGTTGACGTTGGCATTGGCTGAACTCACACGCCCCCAGTCATTATCAATCACGGGCCGAGGTTTTTGTGTAACGGATCAAGAAGTAAAAAAAGCAATCGAGATCAAGTCCAATCAAACAAGGTTATCTGGTCCCAATGTAAGTTAGGCCTGTTTGGGAAGGTGTCAGTTGGGGATAAAGTGATCATCGATCGTCATGCCAGTAGTATGGTAGGGGATGGAGTCGACGGCTGTTGGCAACATAAACCATGCTTGAGAATCTGGAAATAGGTGCGTGAACCGCTGAATTGGCCAATGAGAATCTGAGCTAAACAGACATGCCAGCAATACGAGGGAGGTGGATACTGCTGGGTTATCCCGATTGAGTCGAGCCAAGACCGGAACACGAAGAGAGAGAGAATGGAGATAAAAGTCGGAGCACCTCGCGACATTTTTTCAGTATTCAGACCTCAGTGCCAATCAATGAAGACGACTGCAAACATGAAGAGCTTGATCCTCGGAATGGCCTCGCTGGGCCTCGCCAGCAGTGTGCTCCTCGCTGAGCAGCCCATTCCCTTCCGGCGCGGGTGTCAGGTCTCTGACGATGGCCCCATCTCTGATACCTCTGTCCAATCTACTGGTTTGACGGCTGATCGCCAAGACTACCCCAGCAACGTCACAGTCGACGTGAACTTCCACATCGCTAGCACCGAGGCCCAAGCGGATCTCATCACTGATGAGATTGTCGACGCCCAGTGGAAAGTCCTGCGTGACTCCTTTGCGAAGCACAACATCAACCTGCGCCTCAACTCAACCGAACGCGTCGTCGACAACCTCACTGGGTCGGGGTTCTTCGTCAACGAGGGGAACGGCTGGGAGAATCACGAGGACGAGTACAACGCTTACCTGAAGGCCACCCGCAAAGGCGGATACGACGTCATGAACCTCTACTTCTACAGCAGCTACGCGCCCGGCGCGACAGGTCGTTGCCAGTTCCCCACAGTCATCACAGACCCCGGCAGCTTGGAGTTCTACACCGACTCCTGCCAGATCAGCGCCATGACCATGCCAGGCCTCACCGTCGAGCAAGGCGGCTTCGAGTCATGGAACCAGGGCCATATCGCCGTCCACGAGGCCGGTCACTGGTTCGGCCTCAACCATACCTTCGCCGGTGGCTGCTCTGACAACCCGGGCGACTTTGTTGCGGATACACCTGCCCAGCGGGTAGAAGCGTATGACTGCCCTGCCGGCTTGGATACCTGCCCGGACCTTCCTGGCTTGGATCCCGTTCACAACTTCATGGGTTACGCGGCGGACGATTGGTCAGTATCCCTCGGGTCTCGTTCGGTCACTCAGAGCCTTTTTTTCCCCATCGATTATATGTTCCAAGTTAACCGTGAAGCTACAGCACGAATGAGTTCACACCTGGTCAGGCAGACCGTATGTTCTCAACTTTTTTCGGATGGAGAAGGAAATAGAATGTCGGGCAAAGGAGCAACGCGTGTATAATGCCTTAGCAGATGTGGTATAACGTAAGGATGCAATGATCCTTTGACCAGTGTCAAGTCGATACAAACCACAGTAGACTCCATAAACTTTTTGAGCCTTCGTTTTACGTTATTGAAACGGTGCACCGGGGAAAGCCGTAGGTTAAACTTGATATGCTATTCAGAAAGTGCCAGCCTGTTGTGTTTCGAAGTTCTGGGCTGGCAGACACAATGCCTTGTAATTTGTTCAAAACATTACTGAGTAACTGAAAACTGACAATCACCTTCACAATTCATACTGGCATGTTCATTATAAGCTCAGCCGAGTTACTCAACAGGTTCTGAAGGGCCATAACTATTCAAATGTCACAAGTTCCGCCTAGTTGACGAGCCAGCAAAATCCAATCTCCACATGATGTCGCGTTAGAAACCAACCCTGTATTCAAGTCGACCCGAAGAATGTCGTTTCCAGTAACGTATACGGGGGTTCCCGCTGGAACAGTCCTACAAAAGCCATCAATGATCTGCTTGCATATATCGAACTGATCACAATCAAACTCACGAATTCAGGCCAGTTGTGACAGCAGTGTACTCCCAGCTGAACGCAATCTGGTCGCAAGAGTGTAGGAGGAAATTCGGCGTTTGCAACTCATCGGTCGTGGTTCTGTCGCCCGACTCGGTGAGGACGTCCCATAGCTCATCGATTCCGATTACAACAGGAACAAAAGTAGCGTCGTAGCTTTTGATATTCGGAGATACGATGGTAGCAAGATCTTCTTTGCTGGAAACGCCGCCTGTTGAGAAGATGCCAAGCCATCGCCTTGTGATATCCCAAGCTTCATCTTCACAGAGACATGATACCTTATCTCGACGGGATGGGCGAGATGCTTGGGATGTTGCTGCAAAAGCAGTGATTGCTAATGAGAGAAGACTGGGAAAATACATGGCCAGCATACCGTATTGAATGAGAGACTGGCTACATACATCAAGACCTTTTTCCTTTCGTGCGGGACTGGCCGCTCTTTTGAATCAGACTCAGACCCTTCAACCGCTGGAATAACACCTCGGCTATTCAATCATTCGAAAAAACAATGTTTACTATTCTGCAGGAATGTGGAAAGACGGTGGCATCCAGCTGATACGGCAGACCAGATAGTTTTTGAATCAACGCGGGGAATGTGGCTGCCAACTGGAAATTAGCTGAGGCGTTATTTGAAGTGGTGACTGGACTTTTGACTTTTGAAATGATTTCAGTAAAATTGTGCTTACATTGATGTTTTTCAGGTCTCACAGATGGAAAGCAAATGTCATCCCATATGCCAGGCGCAGTGACTAAAGCCAGGACATGGCGTGTTTATGGATAAGGGCGTCATTATGGGCGGGCCTTGACTAGAATGACTTGTAATGACGGGCCTGGTGCGCCCGTAAGCGAGGCGAGGTTGAAAACGCAATACAGCCTGTCACGAGTGCCGGCGCCCCACCGGCGAGCCTAACCCGCCGTGGTTTTTCTCTCCATCTCCATAGCTCATCTTAACACAATAAAGGCGCATTTGAGGGGGCTGCAGAAAACGAGGCCTACATCTACAAAATGACTACGTCGCCAATGAGACGCCATTGGGTTGTCAGTTCAACATGCGAGGGACTAATCATTAAGGGCTAGGCTACATGGCGCCAAGCTGCGGCTATCAACCGGCGGTCCCCCGCCTGGCTGGGAGAATGTTGAAACAGCCGTTCTTCCTTTCACCACAGGAATGTGTCATGATGGCACTTAAGTGCAGTTGTAGCAGTGGCAACTGCAGGCCCACGTTTGTTATCACAGTATGTTGTAACAAGACGTCCGGTCAACCCAGCCCCAGGAACAGGAAGCTACCTATTTCTTAATTATTTAGTTTCCTCTCCCTAATCTAATAAGGACAAGTAAGCCCCCTAATCCTAAGAATAGTAAGTTACCTATTCCCTTCATCCTAGGCTTAGTAAACTGCTTGCTCTAGTCTTAGAAACAGCAAACTACCCCTCTACATAATCCTAGCAAGCTACTTGTCCCCTTGATAGTAGGATTGTTAGGCTAGCTCTAGCTGTTAGAATGAATTCTGAGACTTGCGAAATACGCTCTAGTGCGTTTGGGCAAACCACACTTCGGAGTGTGCCTGAGACACTCATGGAGACGGCATTTCAACACGTTTAGATACGTTATACTATATTTCAATATGTAGGGTGGGTCGTAGTGAAAGCGTGGTAGGTCGGTAAGGTCGCTACGTGCAGATGGTTGTAGTCGTTTGGTCGTAGGGTTTAATGGAGTATATATTAATGTATGCATAAACTGCATCCATTTGTGAGCGAGAGGTCGTTCAGAGCAACTTCCGTTCCCAAGTTTTCTTGGCTTTGGAAATCGTGTACGTCCTCATCTAATCCGATAGCAATACTTCCTCTGCGCTCAGACGATCACTAGGTTTAAAAACGAGCATGCCCTGTATCATCTTGAACAGTGCATCCTGTTCTGAATTGCTTATTGTCTCTAGTCCCCTTCTCCTCCTTGGTTCCTGGATTGCATCTTGAAACTGTTGATTAAAAGTCCATACCTTACGCCCCTCCTTTGGCCTCCTATTTTTGCTGAATTGCTTTGACCTCCCTTCCTAAGTTTCCTACCACTTATCCGGTATTAATCTAAGGGCATGGACCTGATCTGTAGTGGCATCATCTGGCCTAAATAACCTATTATTAAGGAATGGTCCTACTTTAAGCATTCCCCAAATTACACACCTGAGACTCCAGATATCAGATATATACGACAGCGGCGTTGTTAGTTTAAACCTTGCTTTAGGTGGACGGATCTAAAGTGGCGTGTAGGACTTAAACCTTGATTCCTGTGTAGGGCAGAACACTGTACTAAAATTAGCAAGAACGAGCTTAGCTTTAGTAAGGGTGACTTTATTGCTAGGCTTAACGAGCCAGATTGGCGGATAGACATGGGGTAGAACACCTGGTGGAGCGGTTGTCTATTAACTCTGACAACAGGTTCAGGCTCTAGCGGATCAAATTCTTTATATAGTTGCTTGGCGGAAAGATGATCAAGGCTTGGCAACTGGAGAAGGATGTTTCCTATATAAAGATCTACTTACTATTAGAGATGGCCAGGAATCACAAGTGGAATTACAAGAGGGGCAAAATATATGTACTCACCCCTGTGAACATAACCTAGTTAATGGACGTATGCAACTGCTATAGCAAGCTGGGCGGCAAGTGATCTGGCGACATGAAGCTGGAACGGGCCAGAGCCTGGCTTCAAGACTTAGGCAACGTTGCACCTTGCTGGCGCAGTAATAAAGCATAGATATGTTCTATTTAGTCTGTTGAGGTTAAAGCAATCTAGCATCTGAGGGATTAAACTTCTGCCAAACTGTACGTTCTTGACGGCACAGGTGGAAAATTGGCTCAGAATGTTAACCTCCTGGGAGCTGTGGTCCGCTATGCTAACTTTAATGGCCACATACTTGGCTAATTGCTTGTCTTGCGCTAGCTAAATGGTTAACTAACTACTAAAACTGAGTTTATGTATAACAATATATTGGTCTTAAAGTCTATACCTAATCTTTATAGGATGATAGCCCCCTAGACAATAGAAGTTAAGTCTTTAGCGTTGTTAATGTGCTTATATAGTGAAGTTAGCGTTATTAAGGCGGTTAACATTGGGCGTCTGGTTCTATAGCATAAGGTTGTAAAGAACGATTGAGCGCTTGAAGGAATCCCTTGCCTATAACTGACGCATTCCTGCGCCCGGGAGGGAGATTAGTCAATGTTTAGCTACTAATGAGCGCGTGTGTTAAGGTGTTGTTAGTCGGTCTAGCATGGGATCCCCTAGAGACAGTAGCTGCTAATAGTTAGCCAGCAGGTCCAGTGGGTCTTAACCGGCTAACCATCACCTGCATGACAAAAAAGATGGCACACCTAAAGTACTTTCTCACACTACATCTACCCTAAGACTATTAACAAGTGTTTTTTCTTATACTAACACAGCTATAAGACGCAGTTAGGATATAGGGAAAATATATTTAATAGTAGGTAGAACATACTAGTATTAATTCTAACCATTTTATATATATATATCTATGTATTTATATTTAGTGTTGTGCTGTTTATAACAGTGCATAGAGTGTTTAGGTGTGCTATCTTTTTTGTTATGCGGGTGCTATTAGCCACCTTTACTATCTATTTCCAGAGAAACTGCTTACTAACTAACTGTGGTTAGTCCCTAACAGTAATGTTTTGCACCACTGATTAGTCTAATTGAAACCCATACGCGCTCGATAGAGGGTGTTGCACGCATGTAAAGCACTGTAGCTATGAGAGAAGAAGGCATTTCCATAACAGCCACCCTAGATTAGCCTGCGTTTCTGCAGGATTGTTCCACCCCATTAATCAAAGTCTAAAGTAAGCGATTGAAGCAATCAAGGCATATTTAGAGGACCTTAATATTCGTATAAAACATGTCTTTATGGAGGTGACGAAACATCAAGTTCTTTTATACATAATTTGAAGTCAAGTACCAACATGTCTACAGTTAACATCGTCAAACATTACTTCCACAAACCTAGTAAAGGCGGTTATAACAATGATGTGTAGTATGCAACGAAAGTACTGAACTTTTGGCTCTTGAGTTGTGTTGGGGCTGCAGCATGCAATCAACCGCGCTTGTTGTCGTTTTCTTGTGTTTGTGTTGGCTGAAACGGCATTATGTATGTTGCTTGAATGGGTTTCCAACTATACGTCACCTTGCTTACATTTGCCAGGGGCCAACAGCTTCTGTTTGCGGTCACTTAGTGCCGCTCAGCGTCTTGTCTCAAAGCGGGTAATGTCGTATGGATCATTCAGATCTCCTTTTATCCTTAAAAGAGCGTCGCATCATAATGCGCTATCACAATGCTGTCTAAATATCTAAGCATGGCTCAACCTGAGGAGGGATACAACAGGAGAGCACAGACAAAGAGAGAGGCCCAGTCGGGGACAAAACAGCGTGTCACACGTACGCTTGGAGTACAAGTCGCATACTCTGTGGGTCTCCGCAGCTGAACAAACAGCTAGACATAGGATCTGGAAAGAAAACGTTGGCATTATTGGCCGTGTTCACAACGGATGAGCTCAGCAAAGGACACTCCTCCTTGGGGTATGCAGGGATTGCAATGTACCTTGACGGTGGTGCTATACCGCCAGAACAATGTCCCCCTCTAGCGCTTTGAATGGCCTGACGGTTTAAGGGTTGTCCCCATTTGAGAGATCCCCACCACACCTTTAATCAAGCTTAAGTAATAGTAGCTCTCCGGTTTATCCTAAAAACTTCAACCAACTTCGTCTCATCTCCTCATTCCACATCCAACCCAGTCGCTCACTCACTAGGCACCATTCTTCAGTCCAAAAGCAGCATTTAGCGAAGAGACAAACACTAGGCGATTCCTGAGTGATTGGCGTCAAAACGCATGAGGGTAGCGACATGGACCATTTAGAGGATTTAAGCCAGTATGCCCAGCAGCTGGAAATCTTCCGACGCAATGACTACTCTCGCGATCAGATGATTCAGGTGAGACTGGCTCCGAGTCCTAACAGATGCCTTCCCCGGTTCATAACAGGCAGTTAAGACGGGTGCAAAGTGCTTTCTGGTGATAAATTGCTGATGTTTCTGGATTGAAGGAGCTCCTGGCACGGCACGGTCAACTACAAGCGCTTTATCGCGAGAAGTGTGACGATTATAGTAACGAGGTCGAGTCCCGCCGAATGTGGCAGACCAAGGCCAATAACTTGGGGCAGGAAGTATCTTCACTAAAGAAGGCTAATGTATGTCAAGGACACTCACACAATCTCACCACCATGAGCTCGAGGCATTTCCATGAGAGCAAACAAGTTGACATAGCATGCAGGAATCTAACCCGTTTGTCTTCGTGATTATTGATGGCGACGGCGCCATTTTCCAGGAGACCTTGCTCAAGAAAGGCGCCGACGGCGGCGCTGAAGCCGGCTATCTCCTATGGACGGAGATTAAGAACTACGTCACTGAAGCCTATCCCGAGGCTGCCAGCGAGGACTGGAGCATCATCGTACAGGTAGTCCTCAACGTTGACGGGCTCGCCAAGAAGCTCCACTCCTCGGGTATCGTCCCGAACACCACGACTGAAAGGACCCTATCCGAGTTTGGACGCGGCTTCGGCCGCGCGCAGCCCCTTTTCAGCTTCGTCGACGTCGGCTCCGGCAAGGAGTCGGCTGATCACAAGATCCGCGAGATGCTTCGCGTCATGGTCCGCATAACCCAGTGCAAGCATATTTTCTTCGGTCCTTGCCACGATAACGGATATCTGCCCGTCCTTGAGCCCTATAAGTTGGATCATAAGGTGGCTAGGAAGCTCACCCTAATCGAGACGACGCCGGCCGAAGAGGGGTTCAAGCAGCTCAACTTCCACAGGGCTAGCTTCAAGTCGGTGTTCATGTCAGAGAAGCTGCCTGAGAGGGCCCAGCGCCCTGCCATCGCGAGCATGCCGCCACCCGCCACCTTTCCGAAAGCCGCACCGGTTGTCGCCCCGACTAGACCAGCAGCCGGCGTGGCCCATACCAACTCTGCTAATAACGGCGTACCTCTGAGGCCTGCGGCCGATAGCCCTTCGCGCATCACCAGCCCGTCCTCTACCGACTCGCGGTCGACAACGACAACTCAGTGGACTGCCGTAACCAGAGCCCCAACGGCACCCAAGACGATCGACATCTCCCCTGCCAAGAAGGCACCAGCCCGCAAGTACTACCTGCTCAACAAAGACAGCCAGCGCATCGATGAGCCGCTGCCCAAGATAGATCCAGCAGCAGAAAAGAGGTTCAAGGATCGGATGAGCAGAGAAGGCAACTTTTGCAACAATTACCATCTTCTTAACAATTGCAAGAACCCAGAATGCTACTACGTTCATGGCGAGAAGCTAAGCACGGGAGAGCTGCTGGTATTGAAGCAAAAGGTGGGTTCTGGTTCCAGCGACAACAGTGCCCAATCTCGAAGCTAACATGAATTAGTCTCGTGGTATACCATGCAGTATGGCTTCCGAGTGCGTCGATATCGGTTGTACTCTTGGGCACCATTGCAAATGGTTCCGCGATTGCAACCACACCTATTGCCGCTTTGAGGGTTTGCACAATATCGATGGCGTATGTCCAACCACTAAATGCCCCGGTGCCTTGCTTTGAATTCTTTAACTGCGCATGCTAATTACCGCGATGACAGAAACCGCGAGTCAAGGTCTTCGAGGATGGAAGCATGAAGATCATTGACAAGCTTTAGTCCCCTACATTCAATCACCGCGTTATATTTATCTAACTGCTTGAGATCACCACGTGGCATGAGGATCTCAGGAATTCCGGACGTCAAATCATACTAGAGTGACCGAGGGATGCGTTGGCCTGGGAAATTGCAGAATTACGATGACGTTCGGGGAGGTGCTGGGGTTGGTAGCTATTTAGCGAGGCGGTTTGGCTATTCTAAAGCTTGTTCAACAGCATCAACATAGCATAAGCAACAAGAAATCACTAGCTTCTCATGATTTCCGAAGTGCATTATCCCAGCGTCTGCTATTCCGGATCCACAGGCTGCGAAAGACAACACCCGTCAGGAATCAAACATCACGAAAGCCCAACGGACAGTAACACCACCAAGACACATCACAATTGCTGCCTAAACCAACCGCCATTCAACTACTAGCCGTGTGTATTGGCCCGTTATCATCAACCCCACTTTCAAGCCGCTGCTGATTCGTTCGGAATGAGGTACCTGCAGGTGGCACCATAGCTCAACGTTAGCGACGATGCCGCACAAGTCAGACTTGCTTTGGTAATGGTGTAAAATTACCTAGTCAGCACTACACGCACATGCAAATTTAAACATTTTGTTTAGCTTTTTGGCTATTTTTGGCCCGAGTTGCAACCCTCCGAGGCGCGTGCTGTGGGCGTTTTGAAAGCGAGAAACATGTGTAGTAGAACATATCAAATGCGACTACTTATGTTGGTGGTGAGGTCCACTCACGTGACCTCTGGCCACTGGGTTCACCAGCTTCTTCACCTTGCCAGCCAGCAGCCCTTTTCCCTCCTAGTTACACACCACCAATACCACCACATTCATGGCGATATCGTTGCTCCTCCACAACTTATGTCTGTTATTTGATATGTATAAGAGTAGATGGCTAGTATAAGAATTTTTTATAGTTAGTAGTTCTTATAGTTAGTAGTTAGCTAGAAGACCCAGGACGGCACTGGGCGCGGGCTGGTGATAGCCGAGTCAGAGCCCTTTATTCCTTTTGCAAATAGGATCGGCGTTATCAAAAGAATAGTTACCTAAAAATACAACAACATCGCTTCTTCTGATATGCGTGATGTCAACGAAGACCTGATTCTATCTAAGCCGGAAACTAAACAGCGGCTCGTCTCAAGGCCGTCGAGATCAGGCATGTGGCTTGTGCGTACATGAGTTCAGTCGTGTTGAAGCTTCTGTCAGGCAGACAGCATGCATGGATACTAGCTACTGGTTTTCAGCGGGCATGGCCAGCATTAGACGGTATCGGTCCAGGTGTTGGATAAGAACATTTTTATGATCGCAGCCGGCTTGACCCAGGAGTTGCACAGAGGCCCGGATGCTACAACCTCTCCCAAGTTCAGTTGCTCTGGTTATACGCGCGCTGCGTCATCCTTGGCGGGGCCAGCACCTTATGCGGGATAGTGGAAAGGATGGATCGGCAAATGATAAGTGCCGAACACGGACCCGACCGAGCTACCCAAAGCCAATGATCCACTGCCTACCTATGACATCTGGATTCTGTACCGTGGCGTCGGGGAACCCGAATCAAACGTTTTGATAGTTCTTGCACATAGCAGAGCTTGCTACTTTATTGAATAGTGTTGGAATAGCACTTCAGCCGGATTCGCACGCACAAGTCAGTTGCCAGAAGGTCTATATAACTGGCCACTTTCCACCCGGCCAGAACCACTACATCTTAGAGAATACATGCCTTTACAACCCGTTAAGAACGTTCTTGTTGATGCATTAACCCCATCTATAGTCCTTCCGACAAATAGAGATATTTCTCGTGCTGTACCATCTCAAGCACTGTTTCATTATTTCTCACTATGCCTCAATATTATTTTATTGAGCTTTCTTACCGTTGATTCCTATGCTGTGCACTGAGCACACAAACCCAGTGTGCCGGTAAGTCATAGTGGGGTCAATAAGAAGTCATGTGTCTATCTCCAGAAGCTTCAGTGGTTAAGACTACTCAATATGACCAACATTCCGCAGGCTAATGAGGTTTGGACATGCTCGGCCGAGCTAGTAGTTAACAACCCCGCGCGAAGGAGCATTGACACCACCTTGACACGGGGATCATGCCTTCTTTCCTTCTGATTGCATCTTCCAATGCAAGCAATAACCAGGGGGGACCTGGTTAGATTCTACTTGTTCTGCTCTCTCATAGCTCGCGGCCATCGGCGTCGACGACCGGACAACCAACGATCAGCATCTTGTTGCAACTCTTGATGGCTGTCAAGTCTCCGTGACCCCAGAGGGCTAATCAAAGGACATTCGACTGATCCGCCATCGTTTTCCCACCCACACACAGCCTTGTGGTAGCCCCTCACTATGCTGTCAAATCAACTCAACGGCTTCGGTGCCGGGGAACGACAAGCTTACGTGTCCTCGGTTAACCCCCTCGGGGAAAAGAGGGCCTTGGTTGAGCGGACGAGCTGCCCCACAAACGATAATGTACTGGCTCTTCCCGAAATCGCGCGGGTGTATTTGAAGGATGGAAAGCCCATATTAAGTGGAAAGCCCAGTACATGGGGGGACAGACGGCTTTCAAATCGGCTCATCTTCATCATCTTTGCAACACTGGCCTTAGCCTTGTTGCTGTTGCCATCACACGCCTTAGGGAGTGCAAATTCGAGCACCAGCTGTGACGTATTACCAGATTTGATAAGATCATCAATCTTAACCCTTGGCTCTGTGGAAACAGGGTTTGTACCGACCAACTCCTTGAACGTATCTGGAACGTTCAACTCTGTTTCCTTTTGCCGCGTGAACGGCAGTGTGCCGTACCCTGAGAACAACAATGTCTTTTTTGAAGTATGGCTCCCTGATACGGATGTATACAATGCCAGATTTTTGGCAGTCGGTAAGTAACTTTCCCACAATTCGGCATGGCCAAGAAACCGGATTGGTCTGACCACGACAGGCAACGGAGGCATGGCTGGCACTATCGACTATGTGGCCATGTTAGAGAACATCAACAAAGGTTTCGCAACTGCAGGAGGCGATAGCGGCCACCGGGCCTCTGAAAACAACGGCAGCAATGCTTATCCAGGCGGCGTTAATCTACCTTATCTTCATGACCGGAATCAAGTCCTCGCATGGATCCGCAACTCGATCGCGCTTTTCACACCCCCGGCAAAGGACATTGCGAGCGTTTATTATGAAAAGCAACCTCACCATTCCTACTACAAAGGCTGCTCCACTGGGGGTGACCAGGGCTTTGCATTGGCCGAATATCATCCCGACTTGTTCGACGGGATAGCTGCAGGAAGTCCCGGAAACTGGTACTCTCATCTTGCATTATCGTTTCTGTGGAACCAACAAGCTACACTTGTAAGTTGGAAGTTTCCAACCCTACCTATGAACCCTCTGGGTCCGTGGTACCCTTAGGCCATATGTTTTCGTATGCTAACATACCGAAGGGTTCGAGATTTCTACCACAGCAATCACTAGACCGTATCAAAGATGCAGTCTTGGACCAATGCGACGCTTTAGATGGTGTTGAAGATCGAGTTCTCGAGAATCCACTGGCCTGCAAGTTCGACATCGCAAGTTTGGCGTGCAAAGACGGAGCGAACAATACATCGACCTGCCTCGCGCCAGAACAAATCGTAGCAGCCAAGGAAATATATGCCGGGCCCCGCCACTCAGAGACCAACGCCAGCCTCTATCCGGGTTTTGATCTGGGCACCGAATCAGAATGGATGTACCAGGAAGGCACTCTCTCACTCTCGTTCTCCCTTCCTCTGCTCCAGAATATGGTTTTCGATGACCTGAGCTACAACGGCAGCACTTTCAACTGGGCCACCGACGTAGACGCGATGGATGAAAAAGTGGGCAGCTTGATCGACGCCATCAGTCCCAACCTCACATCCTACCAGACGAAAGGAGGAAAGCTACTTGTTACGCAGGGTTGGGCCGATCCACTTAATGCGGCTGCTTGGCCTATCGATCACTTGAATGAGGTTGCGTGGGTTATAGGCGGCGAGAGACAAGAATGGCTTTCACTGTTCATGATCCCTGGTAAGTAGCGCCGCACGGCAGATGTTGCGCTCATTACTAACGAACTGGGCTGACATGACTGGCGCTTTAAGGAGGTGGTCACTGTGGTGGCGCGTTAACCTATCCCTAAGTCCTGGCACGCAAAACACGCTGGAGGCCCTTGTGGACTGGGTTGAGAAGGGAAAGACTCCGGAGGATCTTCTTGGAATTGCTCCTGCTGATGGAAGTGGAAGAACGAGAAAGATATGCCGGTGGCCTCGCGCTGTAAAGTACATTGGGGGCAACGCGGATGACTTGTATTCTTATACTTGTGAAGAATATTATTATTAGAGGCAAGTTTAGTGGCTTTTTATGGTGTATCGTTAGTAATATAATATACCTAGAATGCGTCTTGGATCTACAGCCCCTGCTTTATATTAACCTCTGTTTTTAATATTACCTAGCTGTATATTAGTATACAGGAATTGTTTTAAAGTGGTTATGTTAATAATTGCTATACGAGAGGTGAATTTATATGGTTAACGGAACTTGCTCTCTTTAAGTTGCTCCTAACACTTATCATCTAATGGGAAAAGGCTTGACTGGAAACATTATTATAGGAAATTTAAAGAGCCTTGGATGTTTTGCTGTATGGAAATGTGGCTTGGATGGTAAGGTTGTAGCAACTGTTAGGCGACAAGAGACCAGTTGAGCAACTTGAATAAGCCATGAGTTGTCTTCTGTTACTGAGTAATGAACTAAATTTACTTTCTCTAAATGTACTACTGACAGCTATTGCTTAAATGAACCAGAGTTGGACGTTACTGCGTCACGTCTGCAACGCCTATAGGTTATTCCCTGCTTGTTTAATCAAACTTTAAAATAGTTACTACTGCATGATAGACGTATTACGTTGCACACTTGAAGTTGAAAGTATTAAAGTGCAGTAGACTAAAATTGCACTTGAGAAGCTAAAAGCTCATTAGTCTTTTAATATGATCCAGCCTGTTGTTGGTGATTTGGGACTTTTCCTATTTGCAAGGAATTGAGAGGCCGCTCTGCTTGAGAATTGCTACTGAGACCTGGTTAACGGATACAGCTGGGGACTCCAGGTGGCTGGTGCGCAATAATGATGATGGATCTGAAGAATCCTCGGCCTGTGCGAGCCTCGATCGAAAGTCAATTTACCGGTCTCTAAAGTATTGCAGATGGAACGACGGTACATTTGTACTGAGGATAACCTGTAAGCATCTTGGTCTGGTTAAGTATGTTAAGTGGTGCTGGCTTGATGAATTACTGTCTGTAATTCCTGCTGGATCTGGAGAGAATATTTCCTCTTGATTACTTACACTCCTGAGCCCTGAGCTTGAGGAATTAGAGACTGTATTATGGAAACGGCCCTAGGAGGCAGGATTGTTGCGTCTTTTTGGACCAAGTGGACTGATATTGGGGAATTTACTATCTAAGTATACGAATAGACAGAAGGTACTGCTGGGCTCTAATATTGGACCGTTCCCTGGCTGTAGAAACTGACAGCTTCTTGTGCAGATGATATACAGCGTCGTCACCTGACAACTCTCCTGCTCTTGATATGACACTATTGAGCAGCGGAGGTGTCGTGGAGATGGAGAACGTCTTGAGACACCGGGCTTGTCGCCAGTGATCCGTTCGCTCGTTCCGCATCGTTGGTCATGGTCCAGTTTCGTCGAGCATCGCATCGGCCGCTGCCAGCAAGCTAGCAACCTCATGTGGGAGTGTGTGCACAATTGCGTTTTACAAATTTAAAACGGTTTTCATAGAGCCTCAGTGTATGACAGGACGGGAAGGTAACGCGAGGGTGTTCCAAAATTGCGGAGTTTCGTTTAGTGTTGATCGGTGGTGGCCTTTGTACTGCGTGTGTTTATAGTTTGTGCACTTTGCAGACTACTCTAGGCTTCACGTCGGAGAAATAATGCCGAGCAGCTGTCATTATTCATCCCGCAGATGGGAATATAAGACATCGGGGATTGCTTATCTCTATTCAACCTGGTGGGCCGATCACGAAGACAAAAAGCGAGATCACCCTATTCCAGAGAAGGGGGAAACCCGAATGACAGGGTCATTAGATTATCTTATGTTCGCTTGGTGAACTGTGCTGCATGAAGCGGGCTTGAATTGTTGAGCGGTAACATTTTAACGTCGGCCTAAAGTCGCAAAACGACGACGCTGATTGGATTAGCAATTAAGGCCTTGTAAATCATATATCACCTTGTCTCACACTAACTACTCCGTACAATCAGTGGAGAAGTGACCTCGATATCAGGGGATTTTTCTCGTAAGTTCATGTTTCAGAAAGTGTGGGTCACATGCTTCCCTGTCTATGGGCTTCTGACGGTTCCTTACGAGATGTCCGAGCCTCTCGCGGCTCCTGGCGGCCGAGGCCCTCACAGCTAGGATTGTACGGTACTGTGGCGTGGCGCATCCTCCCCGTTATTAAGGAGTCAATGCCACTACTCATGAGGAATGGTCGCCAAGACCAACTGACGGGATAGCATGTTCCAGAAGTAGTGTTCTGTTCAGCCTAGGCCACATGAGTGCTTGCACTTTCCTTCTTCAGGCTTCTGATCATTAAAACGGCTGATGAAGGGTGTTGGGTCTCTTGGCGTCGGTAAGAATCCGCCCAGGGTTCTGCAGGAATATGAAGGGTTCGTACGACAAGGTGCTAAAGGAGTATGCGCGCATGTCTGCTGCGGCAAGTGAACAGGTAGTGAGTGCCCTTTCCCATAGGGGGTTGTCTTACATGGTGCCGCCACAGGAACCTGACAGTTGAAGAATGTGAAGATCATATTCTACCTATTATTATCCGGAAAGCTCCAAATACTACCGGTATGCTGTACGCTTCGTCCAGAACGAAGCAATTGATATTGGAATCGATGTCATCTAAAGAATGATACCTTGCGACGATCGGGAAAGGTAACTTGGAAATTCGGATGAAGGGACCAATGTGAACCAAATCATAAGCCCCTTGTCACTTCGCAGTGTGGAGAGACGGGGTGGATCAAGAACCCATCACTCATCCATTAGCGGGCATTCGCAGCCATGACGATGATGCGACTCCGGGCCAAGGAACAACTCACCTTATGGACGGAAAATTGTTAAAAGTCCTCTTATAGTTCCACGCGGGGAGCTATCTAGGTGAAAACCCGATCTCCATGCAACGCCTAGGCATCCCAATGGTCTGGTATATACACCCTGGGTACGGATACATTACATCGGTAAGATCGACCATGTATATCATGAGGTTGAAAATGCTGTCAAGAACGGCCATCGGTAAGTATAGTTCGTCCATCAGATAAACAACGGCGACATCGTATGTTAGTTGGTTATCTTACTTAGTCCGCTATCCCGCCATGGTTCGGTCCAATCCGAGACAGCCCACCCCAGTTGAAAGAAGACAACCCTCGTTCAGTAAACTAGCCTACCAAAGAAGAGGCGGTCGCCGATCGCAGGGTAGCGGCCCCCTCTCTGCTCCACAAGCAATGTCCCGTTGCGGCGGCTCATGCTTGCAGTAGCGCTTCCTGACGTTTCCCCTATGTTGCTGCCAATGGTGGGCCGGAATTGCCATGTTAGGCGCCGCGCCTCTGCATCACGACTAATCAACTTCGAACGCTCTAGGAGAATATACGACTGGTTATACTGTCCCTTGGATGGGTCCACCTGCTTCCTCGTGGAGATGAACTCATAGCAGAGCGTGGTCGAGATGCATCAGCGCCGCGGCGGCGGACTGCCAAGCCCGAAAAAGCGATAGTACTTAAAGACTGTGACGAGGCGCCCTCTCAGTGGTATTATTGTTCTGCTCATCACAGCATCAAGCTTGATTCTCTGCTTTCATCCCACACTCTTTTTTTTTTCTTCTTCTGCATTCTTTACATTTCGACTTGACGTCGCCACATTCTTTTCAACCTCACGCAAACTTCCACCTCCCTTCACTCGCACCACCGCAACTATGAAGGCCACTTTCGTTCTCTCCGCCGTCCTCGGCCTGGCTTCCTCCGCCTCTGCTCACTACACCTTCGACAAGCTCTTGGTCAACGGACAGCAGCAGGGTGGTGACAACACCTACATCCGAAAGCACCAGAACAGCTACATGCCCACCAAGTTCAAGAACACCCCCTCCGGCTCCATCACCCCCAACGATGCCGACTTCGCCTGCAACAAGGGCGCCACCCCCGCCGCCAAGGTCATGACCGTCAAGGCTGGCGACAAGGTCGCCTTGAAGCAGGCCTTCGGCGGCACTGGCATGCAGCACCCCGGCCCCTCCCAGTTCTACATGGCCCCCGTCAGCAACGCCGCCACCGCCGCCACTTCTGGCCTCGAGTGGTACAAGGTCCACCAGTCCCTCCTCTGCAAGAGCGGCAGCGCGGAGGACCTCCGCCACGGCCTCTGGTGCAGCTACGGCGAGGACAACGTCAACTTCCTCATCCCCGACTCCATCCCCAACGGCCAGTACCTCGTCCGCGGCGAGCACATCGGCCTCCACGGCGCCCACGTGGGCGAGGCCGAGTTCTACTACGCCTGCGCCCAGGTCGAGGTCACCGGCAACACCGCCACCAGCATGCCCGGCACCGGCGTCAAGATCCCCGGCGTCTACAAGCAGGACGACGCCCCCATCAACTTCAGCATCTGGGGCAACAGCAACTCCTACAAGCAGGGTCCCGGCCCTGATGTCATCCCCGGTGGCACCATCCGTGGCAGTCCCGACGGCTCTTCCGGCGACAAGATTGCCCGTGTTGCCGGCGGCAGCACTGGCTCTTCCGCCGCCACTCAGCCTTCTGCCTCTCAGCCCGCTGCCTCTCAGCCTGCTGTCTCCAAACCTGCTCCCTCCACACCTGCTGCCTCCCAGCCTACTCCCTCCAAGGCTGCTTCCTCTAAGCCCGCCTGCCGCCGCCGCCGCCGCCGCGTCTAAATGTCGCTCACGACCTGTAAATGCTTGCATCAGGCATAACCGTCCCTAGCAGGGATGGTCTCTCTATTCACCACGGTCAGGATTCCGGGTGGATGACGAATCGATGGTCCATTTTATACCATGGTTCTGAACCTTTCAACAAGTCTTTCGTCCTGCACTTTGCCAGGAGAAGCTTGTCTTTATTTAGTATGTATATATATAGTTCACTGCCATAGACGCAGAGCGTGCAAATAAGAATCGAATTGAGTTCGCACTACTAATGTGTCAATTGGTCCTAACGTGCCCGCATGTGTTATCAAACTCAAGAGACTTGGACGGTTACTAGTGACGCGTCAAAAAGATATATGTCTGGTCTAGACGTGTCATCCGAGGAGCTTGCTCTGCCTCTCCAGGAAGAGGACCTTGGGCCGATCCGTCTCGAACGTAAGGCGCTTGTCTTTCATCATACCAATCGGGCGATCAGGGGCCTCCCTCAGCACGCCCTCGACTCTGGAGACACCCGGCTGCACCACATGCTCGTACCATTGATGGATGCTATAGGAAGACCGGAGCGTCTCGGCCATCATGACCTCGACCGCGCACCACCCGCGGTCGTAGTAGTCCTCGTCGACGAGACTGATCATTGCGTCGCACTGCGCGATGATCATGGGCAACGCCGAAACGCCCGTGTTTGGGTCATCCTGGTTGACGCAGGCGTGGTCCTGGGCCCCAGCATGTGTAAGTGCAGTTGGTCGTGATGAAGAAATTGGGGGAGGGAGAGAAGCGCACGCTTACCATCCAGATCCCGAGCTTGTCCTTGTGCACCGAAGGGTTGAGGCGAAGGTAGTGTTCGATCGCGTCAATCATGCGACGGTACTGGGTGTGTTTGTCGTCGTCTGGGGATTTCGCCCCTGGCGTTTTGTTGATCCATCGATACGAGATGAACACAACCTTCTCTGCAGCCCGTGCAGTCTTGTCAGGCCAGTTGGAGTTGAACTCGCGGACCAGTCCGTCGTCGGATCGCGGAAGTCTCTTGAAGTCAAGGAAGTCAGAGTACCACATGAAATTCAGCCCGTCGAACACGCTCCTCTTGGTCTCGTCGGTTGCGAGCGCCTCTGCGTAAGCCTTCCTCAGCTTGGACAAGACGTACAGGCCTCCGCTCAGTAGGACAGGGCGAAGCTTGTCTTGGAACAGCTCTCGGTAACCCTTGCGCAGCCTGGCTTCCGTTTGCCGTTCGCGGGCCTTGTCCTCGGAGACCTTTCGCAGCCCCTCCAATATGATGCTTTCCGTCGTCACGTCCCCGCTAAAGACGGCGTGGTCGAGGGCCGTATATCCTTGCTCATCGACGATGTCAAAGTCTGCTCCGATGTCTGCCAGCTCCTGCAAGTAGCCACGGTTCTCTTCCGACGGCTCCTTGGCAAATGCAATAGCAGGTGAGCACGTCCCAGGGATGTTATACAGGCGGAGCGCCTCCTCCCGCCTCCCTCCTTTTACAAGAGCCCGCCCGTGGAAGAATCGTGTCATGGCTTTGACTGTGACATCTCTCGACAGGGCCGTCATCTCGAGAGCCTCCGCGGAGACGGCGATGGCCTTGTCGACGTTCCCCCGAGCGCAGTGACACAACGAGAGCCTGCAGAGCCCGATTGTCTTCCAGGTTTCGAGGACTTGGAGCCAGTGGGCGGAGTTGGCGCTCTCTGCCTGCGCGAGGGTATTTCGTCTCAGATCTTCTGCGAGATCCACCCGTTCTTGGAGTTGCGTGATCGCCAGGTCGAGCAGGCTCTGGTCGTTGTCTCTCTGAGACAAGCGAAAGTTCAACATCCCCATGTTTCCGACTGCGCGACATATCTCGCGATCGGCCCCCACCTCTTTGGCAGCCTCGTACTGCTTTGTGAAGGCGTTGCTGGCGTGCTCGAGCTGGCCAATGTGCGAGTATGTGACACCAAGCTCTCCGCTGAACTCTACTCGCCGGAGGCAGGGCTTCAGTCCGTTGATGGCCTCTTCCAGGAAATCACTTGCAGTCTTGTACCGGCCAAACCTTCGGTTGGCACTTCCTATCTCGCCAAGAGCGAGGTGCTTGTAATATCTCGCGTTTGGGAATGGCTTTTCGGGGGCGCAGAGGCTGAGAGCGTTGTGGAAGGCTCGCAGCGCATCTTCCCATTCAGCTTTCCGTGCGTGCTCTCGTCCTTCGTCGATCAAGCCCTCCCATGAGCGAGCGGAATCCACAGCTTGCACAAGCTCACGAGATGTGAAATTTGCTGGGGAGGGTGAATCCGCGGGGAAGTGCCCCCCCGGGACACCAGTCATAGTCCTGTTCTCAAATGAACCACGAGGGCACTCAGATAAGGCAAAGGTTGAAAAAAGGTTGTCTGAGTCCACTTCAAACCTCTGAACCGTTTCCGCCGGCAAGGAATAGTACGAGTTCCTTGTATATGTCTCCTCTCTAGCTTGTTGCACCCGAACACGCCCGTCAGTGTCATTGAGAGTGGGATGCTCTTGGAATGGCACAAAGCTATGAGGATCATCTCCCGGTTCGCTGCAGTTTCGGGCGGACTTGACCTTGATATGAGTAGCATTTGCTGAGTATGTTACTGGTTCGGGTTGATGTAAATAGTTCCGGCCTTCTCCAGAAAGAACCCAGTTATGGACAGTCAACGGGCTTGAACTCGAGCTAATCGTCGTGCCCATAGGACTGGCGTGGGGTATCCACACACGGAGGCCGAAAAGCTCGTCCAGATGGCCGGTCTCCGATAGATCGCACAACGTGATAGTCCAGAAACCTTGTACGCTTCCAGACACGAAGAACCTTTCGGGGGCACCGTCCAAGTCTACGACTTGGATAGCATCGCGTATAGCCTCCCAGCATTGACCAATCTCTGGAGGAGTGACTTCTTGACTGGTGCGTATTGATTCGCGAAGATAGGATACGGCGAGAACCAATTTCGTTAGATGGCCCGTCCTCTTGCCATTAAAGTCTACCAAGTTTTCAGTGGCTGTGACATTCCAATCTCTGAAAGTTCCCTCAAGAAACCCAACCGATAAAATACAACTTTCGATTGGCGCAGTCTCGCTTCGCGGGGATTTTGTAGCGGTTGCTACTCCTTCCAGTACTTGCAAGAGTGATTTCTGAGTGGCACGCATTCCGAGTGGCCTGCCAATGTTTTTCGCGATTGGTTCAAGCTGCAAGAGTAAATATGAGTGGTATTTACTGCCTGCCACTCTTTATGCTCGCCGAAATCACATGGATAGATGTATCTGCAGTTGAGGCTGGGACTTTGTCGTTGTTTCAAAGGTGACCATTAGGAATTCACTAGTGCGAAGAAGCAACCCATACTCCGCCCCCCGTTAATCAGGTAAAAGACGTACGGAACAGCTCCGAGGTTCTGATTGGGCTGGCAAGGCTCGCCATTAATACTAGGCTGACCGCATATGTAATTGGCACTAAATCGACTCGTGCTCTTGCAGCGATTCTGTCATAGTATCCACCCATCAGCCTTGTGGATCCACGACACACACTGTTAGATGCCAAGGAAAGGTTACGGAGCTAGTCGTTGCGGTACTCATACTCCCACGGAAGTGACTTGAAGTGAAGGTAACTCGAAGAGTCTATCCAAAGAACTCTTTATAACCATCTCTTCATAAACCTTCGTACCGACACCCAGTAGCCACTACGATATCTTTCCAATTAAGAGCGGACAAGTTGTTGTAAAGGGGATAGGTGACTGCATATACTATTATTTGATGAGTCAGCAAATGTACCAATATCACGATCATCACATTGATGCTGCGAAGAGCCCAGCGTTACTTGTTAAATGCACCAAAGCGCGACAGATCAAAGCCAACATGATTTATTTCAGGGTTACTATGCCCATAGTCAATAATTATTCAACTTGGCAAAGACAAAAAAAAAGAATGAGAAAGAGAGAAAAGTCGAGTCAGGACAAACTCTCCCTCGTTGAACACGGTAAGCCTAGGTCAGAAAACCAAGCAGCAAAACCAAAAAAAAAAAACCTCGAGCACCCATCATCGCGAAACCGAAGTCCTCCGAAAGCGCTCAGCGAGGATCACATCCCCGCGCGATGCGTCGCCCACATATGCCCGCCGGGCGGCGGGTCCCATGTCACCCAGCCACTCACAGCGAGGCCGCCGGCGCGTCCCAATCCATCCATCCATCCTCGGCCGCGCGCGCCCGTCTGTATCTCGCTGCCACCCCTCGCCGTTCACTCCCGCACACGCCAGCACCATGTATCCATATATGCAAACCACCATCGCCGATGCTTCCATCCAATTCCCGGAGTTCCAGGTCGCACATGTCCTTACCGCCAACCTACGCGAACCAAGGGTGACGCGCGTGCGATATGCTTCCCTGCCTTGGGCGGAGAAGAGGCCGTGCGACATCCCGCGCCGCCGGGACTTGGCATCAGGCTGGTCTAGGTTTTGACCACTACGTAGTAGAGACACACATACACACACAGACACATGCACGCTTCGTCAACACGGCTATTACGTTATGCCATGGGTTAGGTGAATGGCTTTCCCTTTCCCTGTTGCTGGGGGCCCGCTCTCTGGCAACGAAGCGGAAGACCCTCCATCTCTCCTTTCGGTGGGCAAGTCCACGCGTAGACGGGGGCCTTCTTGGTCAATTTCCTCATGTAACTGAACGTGGGCAAAACGGCACCGTGGAAAAGCAAAAAAAAAAAAAAAAAAAAAAAAAAAAAAGTCTCTGCAGGACCGTTATCGGTCGCAAGCGGACGCGGCGTGACACGAGTCAGTGCACTCGATGTCAGCTAGATGGGATGAACAGATTTTCTCGGCAAGGTTGATTTTTATATATTTTTTATATTTATTTTCTTCCTTGGCTCATTGCATTATTTGGATACATTGTTTCGGAAAACCACTCGAGGGGCGCTGTCCGTACTCTAGAAAAAAAGGGAGCGTGGGAACATGTTCGCGAAGGAGACCAAAAAGCAAGGAAATATCCAGTCGATAAGAATGCGGTCTCTTATCCGTACACATTCCGGAGACGCACGGAGACTCTGAATAATATCCTCCTGTCCGGCCATTTACACTCTCGACAGGCGGACACCGGGGGCTACCTTGCGATCCAGGAACAGGGTTTAGTTAGCTTCGTTGGCCATCCCGTCGTCTATGGCAGCGCGTCGAGTCTGTACTCAAGGCGACCATTGTGGGGGGTGCCTGATCTGACCTGACCATTGCCTCTGACCTGACCAGACAAGATGACCTAGGATTCAGGTAAGGGATTAGTTCAGGTAGTAGAATATCTTCTCGTTCCGGGAGGGTCCAATGATCTGGTCAGGTCAGGTCAGGCACCCCCCACAACGGTCGCCTTACATGTACTCTCCAGCGCGTCCACTGATCAATTACTCATGTCTCTCGTTGACGGCCCGGAAACATGACATGAGGCGAGCAAGCATCTGGCCGGCATGCCGCATCTCTGTCATCACAACCCATGTCGTCGACTGATTGTTTCTTTACTCTTCCTTCTTCTTAAGTCTTTGCAAACCGTCCCAAGAAAAGGCCTCCAGGCCACACTCACTCGCCCCTCGTGGGAAATGGGCTTTTCACGCACAGCACAAGCCCGGAGACTACATTACATGTAAGGCGACCATTATGGGGGGGGTATCTGACCTGACCTGACCATTGCTGATAACCTGACCAGGGTGTGGGCCTGCCCGGATTAATACAATATTCCATTACCCAAACCAATCCCTAACTCAAATCCTAACCCCAACCCTAACCGAACCCTGGCCGACCCTATCCACTAACCCTACTTGGCTTAGTGCGTGCACAGTACTTTTGCCCCACTAATGGTCAGGTCAGGTCAGGTATCCCCCCAATGGTCGCCTTGACTACAGACTCGCGAGCCCGTCCGACTCCGGGGTCGCCCCCGGTAGGGCACCCCCCGAGTCGTTATCTAGAACCTCTCCGGGACCGCCTAATTGGGCGGCGCGTTATCTCCCCCACCCGGCACTTACCAATTGGCTTGACCCAAAAATCTTCCTCACTTGGCGGGATGGAGAAGACCCCGAACGCTCGGGACATCGTCCTCCTATCAGAGGCCCCAATTCGCCCTCCAAAGGGAGAAAGGCAGATAAAAAAAAAAGATAAGGCAAGGCGTCTTGGCTGTGCAAATACCCTTTTCTAATATCAGATTATCGCGTGGTCGCACTAGTTAATTCTATGGGGATTTCCACATTGCCCGGGTTCGTGGTGCATACGGAACCATGTCGGCGGAACCCAAAAGTGGCGCGCACCGGGAAGAGAGGCAGAGTAAGTAGGAAGGATTTCGACTTATAACACCTCAACTCCCCCTTCTCCGGTTCGAGCATGTAAAGAAAAGAAAAAAGGGAGAACAGAGATTCAAGCAAAAAACCCCCGGCCGGTTTCGCCTCCCCTTCCCCTCCACCGCAAGCCAAACTGTACCGGCCTCGCAGCGGTGTACCGACTGAGCCATCACGCCAGACCGCAAACATGCCCGACTGGAAGGCCATGTTCGCCCCGGCGCCGTCCCTGGACGTGCCCGGCCTCGAGACCGTCGACCTCTCCGACAAGGAGATGGAACGCCGCATCGTCCGCAAGCAGGACATCAGAATCCTCCCCTGGATCTGCGTGACCTACCTACTGAGTGCGTTTGCCCCGACCGTGCCTCGCCTCTCTCTACCCCTCCCGGGACATACATGTCAACTAACACCCCAAAAGACTACCTCGACCGCGTCAACCTCGGCAACGCCCGCACGCTCAACAACGACACCCCCGAGGACAACATTGTCAAGATGCTCGACCTCACGGGCCAGCGGTACAACGTCGCCGTCGCCCTCTTCTTCGTCCCCTACGTGCTCATGGAGTTCCCTTCCAACATCATGCTCAAGTACTTCTCCCCCTCCAAGTGGATCTCCCGCATCATGGTCTCGTGGGGCATCGTCACCATCTGCACCGCCGCCTGCACCACCTACGGCGGCCTCCTCGCCGTCCGCATCATGCTCGGCCTCGCCGAGGCCGGCTTCTTCCCCGGCGTCATGATGTACCTCTGCTTCTGGTACAAGCCCGAGGAGCGCGCCACGCGCATGGCCGTCTTCGCCAGCTCCGTCGCCGTCGCCGGCGCCTTCGGCGGCCTCCTCGCCACCGCCATCTCCTTCCTCAACCGCCGCGGCGGCCTCGTCGGCTGGCAGTGGCTGTTCGTGCTCGAGGGCATCCCCGCCATCCTCGTCGGCGTCCTCGTCTGGTTCAAGCTGCCCGACTACCCCCAGACCGCCGCCTGGCTGACGCCCGAGGAGCGCGCCTTCGCCGTCAAGCGCCTCGGCCCCTACGCCCCCTCCATGGGGGACAAGCACTGGGACGGCGCCGTCGCCCGCAAGACCGTCCACGACCCCTACTTCTGGCTCTTCGCCATCATGTACTTCCTCATGACCAACTCGCTCAACGCCAGCGGCTTCTTCACCCCCACCATCGTCGCCTCGCTCGGCTTCAAGGGCTACAACGCCCAGCTGCTCACCGTCCCGCCCAACGTCTTCGCCATGTTCGTCATCATCGGCAACTGCCTGCACAGCGACAGGACCAAGGAGCGCTCGCGCCACGTCATCGGCGCCCTCATCTTCGTCGCCGCCGGCTACCTGCTCCTGGCCGTCGTGAAGCACTGGGGCGTGCGGTACCTTGGCCTCATGATCATCGCCTGCACCAACGCCGCCGTCCTGCCCTTTGTTGCTGTAAGTTGATACATGATGGACACCTCTCCCCCCCCCCCCCCCCCCTTTTTCCCCTAATTCCAAACGCAGAGAAGAAGAAAAAAGAAAGGGAGAAAACAAGTACGAGAAGCTAACGTGGGGGAAATCGCAGCACCGCACCGCGACCGTCCAGGGGTCCACGGCGACCGCCCTCGCGACGGGCGGCATGATCGCCATCGCGAATTGCGGCGGCATCTCGGCTCCCTTCCTCTTCCCGAGCACCGACTCCCCCATGTACAGCATGGGCAACTGGACCATCTTCGCCTTCCTCGTGGTCACGGCCCTGCTGACGGGCTACGTCTGGTACGTCTTCGGCACCCACTCGGGCTACCGCACGGGCGCCAAGGACGCCGCCGGCAACCTCGAGGTCCTCGACGGCGCCAGCGACCCGGACGATCTCATGGACAAGAAGATGGACGTGGTGGCGGACCACGACAAGAAGGACGAGGAGGCGTAGGGAAAGCAAGGCGCCCCCCCCTGTACCAGCATGGTGGTGGAGAGAGCTGAATCGGGGTTTTAGAGAAAGATGGGTTTGCGCATTGCATGGATATTGGGAACCATTGATACCCCCCCACCTCACTTACCCGCCGGCAGATGGATAGATACCAGCGGGTTGCCCCCGAGAGACACGAAGAATGGCTGTAGTTAATGAATAATGTTCGTTTGTAGTACGTTCCGTGACATGTTTCACCCTTTCTTTCTCCGTCATTCCACAGCGCCGGGAGATGGGTGGGACGTGTGGGATGGGTGACGAAACGTGACAATCTCCCAACTAGAGAGAAACCCCCCTCCCTGGGCCCATCCGGGACTGCGGGTTTGGCGCGCGGGAAGAGAAGAAGAAGAAGAAGAAGAAGAAGAAGGTGGCTGCCTGTCGAAGGCAGACTTCCTGTTGGTATACGGTAGGTATGCTCCGGGGGAGGTGGTCACGTGATATTCACGTGACACACCGCCTCCCTCGGCAGTATCCACCTCACCAACAGTATACCACCCATAAGTCTGGATTCACTTTATAACTAACTAATATAACAAGCAACCACTATATTCTGTATTACGATTTGTTAAGTGATCTATAGGATATCCCTCTTAGTAATTAACTAACACTAATTAGTATATAATTAATTACTAGATTACTACTATAACAGATTAGTAAGGTTTTTTATATAAAGCAGAGAGGATTAACTAGCCTATTAGTAAATAATCCTTTATAAATTTAACTATTATTATTATTATAACTTTCTTTAATTCCTTACTTTATCTTAACTAAATCTATATTAATAATAAGTAGAAAAAAAAAAGGTAAAAAGCTACTACTAGTAATAGTAGGGCTATTAAGTTAACTAGTAATAAATACCTATAACTTATATTTATATTTATACTTACTATCCTTATTATTATACCTCCTGTAACCTCTCCCTCTTCTACCTGCCTTTATCTACTATATTAATCTAATAATATAAGGTAACTATATTAACTTTAATCTTAATAAGTTAGACTTCTATAAAGTTAGATTATATATAATATATATAATTACTATATAGTTAGACGCTAACCTCTATAGCTACTGCCTTCTTACTGCCTTTTAGTTAGATTTTATAAATTAGACTATTACTACCTTTAATGCTATAGGCACTAAGGTACTATTAATATTTTATAATTACCTTATTAATAATAAAGTCTTTATTAATTTAGTAAAAAGAAGGATTACACCTAAATTAGTAGACCTTCTTAACACTAATTTCTATATATAGACTAGAGAAAATATTACTTTATACGCTATAAACAGCCTATTTTTAACTTATAAATAAAGAATCCTAAATTTATTAATAATATTACTAGTTAATATATCTTACTTAAGGAGAGATTAATAATTAATTAGGCCTTATTTACTACTTTTTTAATATTATTATAAATAGTAGCTAATATTACTTTATAGAGGTAACTACTTTTATTTACCTTAACTTATTTATTAATAGTAGATTATTATTAGCTAAAGTAGGAGTAAGAAGGCCTAACTTTACTCTTATAATAAGATAAAATCTACTAGGCACTTACTAATCTAAACCTAGTACTTAGAGGTAATATAGGCACTTTATTTATTAATACCTTATTATATAATCTAAGAACCTCTTACTTTACTTATTACCTTACTTATTACTTTACTTTTTAACCTTATTAATCTTATTATAGCTAGTATAGTAAGTAATTAGGTAGTTAGCTTATTATAGTAAATAAAGTAAATCCTTAATAAGATATACTATTTAACTTATTAAGTAACTATAAGCCTACTGCTAACCTCTTACCTTAGGGCACTATATAGAGATTTTAATTATAAGGCTATAATAAGTTATAATATTAGCTACTATATAGATCTAAATTTATACTTATTTTTACCTCCTAACTACACCCTTATTAACTAACTAATCTTATAAAGCTACTAATAGATAAAACTAAGTATAGTAGTAAGTTATATAACGTTCTTAATCTTAAGTTAAGTATTTTTTAAGATAACTATAGTAAGGTTAGGATTAAGTAATACTAACTTAGTCCTGCTTTTTCTATTATATTAAAGGGTAAGGTATCTTAGTTCTATATTAACTATATTTATAGTAATAATATTTAAGATTTTAATAAGATAGTTAACTAAATTTATAACTACTTTAAGATATAGGAATAAATATAGACTTACTTATCTAAATAGTAAGAAATAACACTTTCTTAAGTTATATATAATAATCTTATAATAACTAAGATCTAAGCCCTTAAGGAGCTTATCTTAAAGCTAGCCCTTATCTAATAGGCTCTCCCCTTATTATACTAAAATAATAAGATGTTAAGAAGTTAGTTACTAAATACCTACTCTAGGGTTCCTAAGTGTAACCTTTACTTATACACTCTAGCTATAATATTAAAAGGAGTATATAGCTAGTTATAGTTATCTATTAGTACTGCTATAAGGCGCTCTTACTATAGCTAGTACCTTACTAAATCCTTACTTTTATTACCTAATAATTAATATTAAGTAGACTATACTTACTAAGGCTAAGGCTATTATTAATAGTTTAGTAATAACTATAGTAGTAGTAATTTTTATAATAGTAATAATAATAATAGTAGCTATAATACTAAAAAGTGCTATATTTACTATAAGCCTAGCTACTAGTTAATAAAGTATACTACTAATAAAAGATATAAAGTATACTAGTAATTTAAAGGTAACTATTATATTAAAGATACCTTACTAACTATATATAATACCTTTCTTACTAGCTATAAAGGCACCTATCTATAAGAAGAAGAAGATAAAGATAGTAATAATAATAAGGATCTTTAGTAGTATCTCTAAGGGGCCTACTTTATTATTAGTAATAATAAAGAATAAAATAATAGTATATTTTATACCTTAACTATATTCTTTAAAAGCGCTAAGGTAGATAGTAAGGCACTTACTACTAGCCTTACTAACTAGGCTATTTATTACTAATTAATAAAAATTAACCCTAATAGCGCCTTTACTAAGTTACCTAACACCTTTATATTAGATTATTACTTATTAGCTACCTTTTAAGGTATTTTACTAGATATAGGCGTAGTAAGTTACTTAACTATAGGCTACTTATAAGCTATTACACTATAGTAAATTTAACTATTTATAACTATTAACACTATAGCTATAAGTAAAGTAAAAATTAGATTTAGTAATAGTAATACTATTACTTTATAAGGCACTATTATAGTAAAGACTTCCTTTAGGTATATTACCTTTTATATAATGCCTACTAATATACCTTTCTTACTTTACTTAGCTAATATAGATTAGCTATTAATTTAATTTAATAACCTTATAAATACTCTTTAATAAGGTAAACTTATAGTACTAGTTATATAAAAATAAGGCTACCTATAGATACTACTTAGCCTACTTAAGTAAAGCCTTATAAGTTATTACCTAACTAATATTAAGCTATACTACCTTTATTAATAGTTTAGCTATCTATTAATTTACTAGCTATATAAGATTTTTTATAAGGCTAGCTATAAGGTTAGAATAAAGGTAATTAAATACTTAATAAAGTACTACTATTACTACTAAATCTATAGTAAGGCACCTTTTTATTATTAATTTACTTTATATAATAACTACTTTTTTAATTATAAAATTATTATTAATATAATATACCTTAATAGTAACCTTATACTTTATATAGTTAATACTACTACTGCCTTTAATATAGCCTACTTTTTTTATAATATTTTAGTAAAAACTATATAAGAGGCACTACGTTACTACTAAATTAACATTTACTAAAGGCCTCTAGATTAGATTATTACTAATATAAGATAGAACTTTATCTTAACTAAATTTTTATATAAAGCCTATATAATAGGCGTTAAGGTTAAGATTATACCTATTAAAGCCTATTATAGCGTTAGGAAGGTTAAGAGATACTATACTATACTTTAATAGATATATAAGATAATCTATAAAGAGTGCCTATTTATTAACTATAAATCTATACTTTAGAGTATAGCTAAAGTAATTAATAATACTACTAGCTTAAATAGCCTTATACCTACCTTACTAGTATTTAGTGCCTACCTTTATATAACTACTAACTTTACCTTTTTACTTAAGATAATTTAATATATAACTACTATTTAAAAAGTAACTAAAAATCTTTATAAATATAATATAGTGTAGTAAATTAATAAGGCTTTTACTACTTATAATAGTCTAGATACCTCTATAATAAAGGATTTACCCCTAGGTAGTAACGTCTATATCTAGTATAAAAAAGGAGGTTAGTCTAGCCTATATAAGTTACTTACTACTTAAGGAGAAGACTTTACTATTAATATTAATAGCCCTTACGTTTTTTAATTTATATTAGTTAAGCTATACTATATAGTAGATAATAGAGAAGGAGGCTTAGCTAAGTAACGCCCTTAATTTATCCTAAATAATAATAATAGTTATAGTAATAAACCTACTAAAGATACTATTATTATTATAATTAACTTAAGGTAATAGCTATATACTAATAATCCTACTATTATATAACCTTAATAAGCTAAAAAAATCCCTATAAGATACACTTTACTATAAAAGACTAATATACCTTATACTACCTTCCTCTTAGTAAAAGAAAAAACCTATTAAACCCTTATAATCTAACTATATAAAAAGGGCGTTATTATAACACCTAGTAAGCTATTTAAGTAATTAGTAGCTACTAAGATTAACAGCCTTATTATATAAGGCGTCTTTAAATTTACTATAATTAACTAACTTTAGCTATATAAGTAAATTTTTAAATTATAGATTATAAATAAGGTAAAAAGTACTAATAAGAAGCCTTATAAGAAGTTATAACTTATTATTTAAGGCTATACTAATAATAATAAAAAGGCTATTCTTACTTAGTTACTTACTATTTAGTAAGCTAGCTAGTAGCTTATCCTTATACTAGCCCTTTTTTTTCTTATTAATAGTAAAGTTATATAGCTATATAATATTATATAGGCCTATATTTAATTTACTTTCTACCTTAACTATACTATTTATACTAAACTCCTAGCCTAAATCTATTATAAGTACCTTAATAATACTATTATAAAGGTTATTAAGCCTTTATATAGGATTACTAAGGTAGGTACGTACTAGTAGGCTACTTATAACTATTACTATAAGGAGAATCTCTAGATAGTCTTTACTATATATAATCCCTACTTTCTCTTATTATCTAATAAAAATCTACACTTTACACTTATTAGTATATAAATAGATAATACTATTAGCCTAATAGACTTTCTATTTTCTAACTAAGAGAATAAGGAACTAACTAAAGTAAAATTTGCTATAAAGGATAAGTTATTCCTTACTGTTAACTAACTGCTTATGTTACGCCACGAATCACAGGGCCTAGAAGAGCCCACGTGATCGCCGGCCCGCTTAAAAGCGCGCGCCCGCGGCCACGCGTGGCTCTACAGACCTTTCCTTTCTTTATCTTTCACATACTTAGACCTACAATATAAGAGCTTTCTAGCTAATTGAAGGTCCCGGAAGATCACTAATTCCCTACTTTCCAACGGATCGTAACAAATGGTAGCACAACCTAGCAAGCGGCAGTAATCTGCTAGCCTGCTTATTACTAGGAAATACTATTACACCCGTCAAATCCTAAAGGCAGGTACGGCAACGACGCCTTCTTACTTCACTTCGCAACAATTACGCCCTAGATCTCAATCAGCAGCAGCCTCTAGTGGATCCGCCTCCATCAAGGAGAGCTATTTCCCTCGCAAGGAAATTAGTCGCTTTTCTACTACCTTTTCCCTAAAGGAAGAGAGGCTGGCCCTAGCAGTAAGCACGGCTTCTAGAAAAGCCCTACCTTATGAAACGCACGTTAACCTTGTTAAATCCGACCGTAGCAGCACGCGCTCAAAAGGGAAGGTTAACGTGCGCTTGCAACTACCTGAAAGTCAGCCAGTCAAAAGGGGCAAAAAAGTGGCCCTGAATTTTCCGGTGGTATCAGTCTGGCTTAGCGGCAACCAGGCCCACTTTATAGAGGAAGGCACTGGCGCTAGCGGCAGCCACTATAGTAACTACAGCCGTAGCTATGTAGGCAGCTACAAGGGTAGTTATTATAGTGAGGGCAGTCACGGCAGTAGGCCGGATAAGGATAATCCAATTACTAATCGGCCGGCAATTGACAGCCAAAGTGAGGGCCAAAGTGAGGGCCAAAGTGAGGGCTAAAGTAAGGGCTAAAGTGAGGGCCAAAGTGAGGGCCAAAGTGAGGGCCAAAGTGAGGGCCAAAGTGATGGCGGCAATAGTGACTACGGCGATAGTGATGGCAGTTACTGAGGGCAGTAAGGACCTTCTTTTGGGCGGCAATTGTTACGCCACGAATCACAGGGCCTAGAAGAGCCCACGTGATCGCCGGCCCGCTTAAAAGCGCGCGCCCGCGGCCACGCGTGGCTCCACAGACCTTTCCTTTCTTTATCTTTCACATACTCAGACCCACAATATAAGAGCTTTCTAGCCAATTAAAGGTCCCGGAAGATCACCAATTCCCCACTTTCCAACGGATCGTAACAGCTTACTTTTAATAGTAGGATTATTATAGTTATATCTACTATAGACACTTCTATTACACTTTACTAGAAAAAGTAAGAAGTAAAACTATAATTAATTAACATAAAGTTACCTATAGCCTACTAAGATTTTATCTAGTAATAGGTATAAGGAGTATATATTACCTCTATTTACTAGCCTAAAGTATACTATAATCTTTTTATTATAGCCTAATATAAAGAGCTAGATAATAAGGTAATTAAAGACCTTAACTATTAACTATAATAGTAAATAAGCTTACTTAACTATAGTTTATAATTTATTCCCTTAGATTTTATATTAGCTAAGCTATTTATATTTATAAATAGATTATTTACTAATAATTATAATATAACTTTATAGTTAGGATTTATTATCTTTTTTATAAATAAAAAGATTAATAATAACTAAGCTAAGTTTTCTTTTTATAGTAACGTCCTTTATTTCTTATTTATAAAGTCTAAATAAGTTACTTAAAGCGTCCTTATATCTAAAGTGTATAGGATAGTTATAGGCGTTAATATAGCTTACGCCCTCTCTATAACTATTATAATAATTATAAAGAAGCTTAATATCTTATTAATCTTAACTATTATATATATAGACTTATATTTACTTTATAAATACCTAGTTAAGCTAGGAACTATAAGGGAGAAGCGTCTTATAATTAATATTATATTACTAAGATAGTCTTATAAGTAATATAAGCTCTATAAAGTCTAATAGATTACTAAATCTAATAATCTAGCTAATAGATTTATAAAGGTATCTCTAAATTAAGCACTTAAGGGCCTAGTTATAAATAATAAAGCTAAAATATATATAGAGGGTTAGGTTATATAAGTATAATAGATTATAATAAGTATATAGTAAAAAATAGATTATAAGTTATATAACTAACTAAACTATAATAGTAGTAGTTAAATCTAACTAATATAAGAATATACCTCTAATAGCTATAGCTAAGAAGAAACGCCTCTAAATAAGTTAGTATAAGCCTATACTATCTATAAGGAATAAAGAAAAATAGAGGATATAGGAATATATAGCACGTAACTATAAGAAGTATAATACTTTTAGAGTTTTAATTTTTATTATATTTTTAGGCCTTTTAAGGCTAATCTAGATAGCTAGGGCACTAGTAACTTTTACTACAAAAGAAAAGTTACTAGTGTTAGTATACAGTAGGTATGCTCTAGGGGAGGTAGTCACGTGATATTTACGTAACATACTACCTCCCTTAGCAGTATCTACCTTACTAACAGTATACTACCTATAAGTCTAGATTCACTTTATAACTAACTAATATAACAAGCAACCACTACATTCTGTATCACGATTTGTTAAGTGATCTACAGGATATCCCTCTTAGTGATTAACTAACACTTCCGTTCAGCTAAAACGAAACGATTCGCGATCCACACGTTCGTTCATGAAGATCCGGTTGCGCCAGGGAAGGTAGTTGTTGGTGGGCAGTGTTCTAAGTGATTTCGGCACCCGTTAACCGCTTCCGAGTCGGCCACTAAGTTTTCGGGAGTGGTATGGGCCGTTCGCCCTGTGTGTGTGTGTGTGTGTGTGCGTGCGAGAACATTTCCTGAATTTTCCATTGCAGGGACCGGGTCAGTTAATGCCTATGTGTGAGGTGTCTTAGAGTCAATACTCTCCTCCCACACATGCCGAGCCCGAAGATGGCCATTGACTGACGACATCAGTCGCCAATGGGAATATGCAAAAAAGAACTGTGAAAAAGGTTTGGGCCCTAACCAGGGATCGAACCTGGGACCTCTCCCATTCTGAGTCGTCATTGACAACCCTAAGGGAGAATCATACCGCTAGACCATCAGGGCTTGATGAATTGTATTCAAATATTTTACCAATTGCCTGGCTATGGCTGAGCGGTTTAGTTTCCACTACATAGAGGACTGCGTTATGTCTTACGCAGTGGAAAACGTGTTCCTTAATGGAATCTGACTTTGCCCGTCTTCCTTGAGAAAACTGCCGTGGCAACGTTTAATTAATTAAAGATGACGAATCATTTGCCCACACTGTAGAGGCATGTGCTTGACGTAAAAAAGTCTATTTAGGCTTTATTTATTCTTTAACCTTTTTTCTTTTTCTTTTAGTTATACTTTTCAGCATGTACCCCTGCTGGGGCAGCTCCCTCCTGCATACACGTACATACACATCAGATTGATCCTTAATTGCTTGTATAGGCTACAGTATGTGACAGGCTAGACCACACCACCACCACCACCTCTTCCTCTTCCTCCAACGCATTGACTCTACTCCTCATCCTCAAACGTCACCGAATGGGTTAGCGCCCAGTCCCGAATGTCGTCGAAGTTGCGGCAGGTGTGCAGCGTGCTAAAATCAGGCCAGTGGCCCTCGACTGGGAGATCAGGATACATCTTGAAGGTGAAGACGCCAATGTCGGACTGGCACATGAGATTCAGCCGCAGGGCCTCGATGCAGTGGTCTGGAGATATGGGTTAGTGACTGGGCGTCTTGGTACTCGATGGCAGTGAGTCGGGATGGCCAACATACCAAGATGTCCTCTCAGATCTTCCGTGTCGGTAGCGACGTCGCCGCCAACATCTGGCCTTGAGTAGTAGTCGGGGTAGGTGGCCATGCGCAAGAGGTTGAGGCAGTGGAGCTGGTGGAACACCTCGAGGCCGGCGCGATACCCCTCCTCGCCCGTAATCGGGTTCGTGATCTTGATCGACTTGGGGTCAAGACCGAGCTTCTCGAGTTCGGCATGAGAGACCATCTGATCTCCGACTGCGCGATGGGTTAGTCATGAGGTTCATTCTTTCGCTGTTTGACGCGCTGCTCACTGTTGTTGGTGATGTGGTCCCATGCTCTGTCGACCTGGTAGCCAGAGCCGACGAAAGGCGACCAGTCCATGACGGGCGTCAGGTTGTATCTTTCGGTGTGGTACTTGACAATTCCTGATGCGGGGGCTGCATGCTATTAGCGACCGTCAAGGACCGACGGCACGGATTCTGGAAAATGCACGTACAGTACGATGAGTACTTTTCAGTGAAGAAGGTGTCATCTGGGGTGTTTTGGGTGTTGCCGTAGCGCAGGCTGAACGAGGCGGCAAAGAAGGCGATGGACGTCATCAAGAGCGCCCCATGAGCGGCCCAGGGCCAGTACCGCAGCAGCCGGCGGGCCTTCTCCTTGCACGTGTGCTCGTCACCGAGCCTCATGCGCTTCCATGTCGGGCTTGTTGTGGCGGCGGCGTCTACGTTGTCGGTGCTTTCGGTGTTGAGGCTCCCGGCGAGGCTCTCGACCTCCTCCTCCTCGTAGGGTACGGAGCGGTAGACTTTTTCAGAGGACATGATTAAGAAGGGTGATAATAATATAAAAGAAAAAAAAGAAGAAAAAAAAAAGAAACGAAAAAGATGGAAACAAACAAACAAGTACGAAGATGTTTGGATAGACACGCCAGGTGCCAAGCAAGAAGAGAATAGGATGGATACAAGCCAAGTGACAATGGACGCAACGATGAAGAGGGTTGTGTAGAATGCAAGTGTGGCCAGACAAACAGATTGGAAGGAGAGATTGGGCTGGCAGCAAGAGCACGGAAGTACGAATGCACGGAAATTTCGGTAGTAAGCGAGGAAAGCAGGCCAGCTGTCTGAGGGTAAGAAGAGACGAGCGCCAAGAAAAGATTGCTTGGGCAAGGAAAATCAGTTTGTCGAGCAGAGCAAGCAAACAACCTGACCGTGAACCAGAACGACGGGCTGGCCACGGGAGCGGAGCGTCATTACCGTCCACCGCCCATTGCTGCATAGGATTCCTTTGGACCATGCGAAAATCTTGACCAAGGAGAGAACCAATATCCAGCCACCAGAAACGTTTGGGCCGTTTGATCGTCGTTGCGGAAGGTGCGACAGGCTGGGGGGCGTGGGTGCCGTCGACCCTTTCGTCCAAAGCAGGAGGAATAGACGACATAATGCAGCCTTTGTCTCAGCATCCACCAGCCAGGAACGGGAATAAGAGCGCGCGGCCCAGACTCGTCCAATCAATAGGTACCTCGCGTGTACGGATAGTTTACTGCCCCTTCCCTCTCTTTTTGACAGCGCATGGGTCTGGGATATCCTCGGCACCTGCTTTAGCTGCCACCTCTCCCGCGGTCCAATCATCTTTCACCGCCCCACTTCTCCATCCTTTTTGGCATGCTGCGTGGGTGTGGAAGTCGCGACTGAATCGTTGGTGCAGTGTCTCAGACCAGGGATACGTCGATAGCATGGGGATGCCGAGACAGGGAATCGCCCGCCGGTGGAGACCAGTCGGAAAGTACTCGTGGAGTAACCTATCCCATGCCCAGCCAAAACAAGCAATCAAGATCCAGGAACATGCCAAAAACAGTCGTCATCTCCTATTTACTTACCATGTAGGTACGTCGAGAGAGAGACCCGTGCACCCCAGCCTCAACTCCAGGGTGCGCATTGTCGTATTGTACCTGCTGCCCGGCATCATCTCCCGATCAACCAATACCCAAGGTACACACACCTACGTGCTGCCTAGGTAGTCCACCCCCCCCCCCAGGGGAGAGCCCATCGGTCTCCGTCTTGGCGCCTGGGACTGTAGCCGTATCAGATATCCCTTACGCGGCTCTCTCCCTTGGGAGATGGATCATCACGAGGCCCCTTTATGATGTGCAACCCCCAGCGCCTTGCCCAGTCGCGACGACCTGCCGTAACAAGTCGTGGATCAAGCTTGGCCTCAGATCACTGCTGGCAAATGGAAGAGGCACATCTTGGCACCTAGACCGTTATCTGCCGTCCTCGTGTCCAAACTGAAACTGTAAGCGAGTCCAGGAGACAGGTAGCCGCCACAAGTCTTATTGGCGATAAGCTATCCTCTCTCCCGAACAACTACGAATACTCCACGTAGTACGCAGAAGCCTCGTGGACCCAGGGGACCCGCAGGCGCGGTTTTCGGCTCACATCCCTGCCTGCCATGTACAGACACACTCCCCGCATCCAATGCCATGCCTTCGACAGCACAGTCCGAGGGCTTTGCATTGGAACGAGTCCCATCTCCCACCATCACTCTGCCTCAGTCCGAGGACGCAGCGTATCGTGAGCCGTCATATCCCGAGGCCCTGTCCCTCTCCACCCCCTTTCAGGCCCATTCCTATTCCCACCCGCCTCCCCTATCCTGAGACGTTTCCAGTCCAATACTACAAGCCGATCAAAGGTTTGACACCCTCCAGTCGAGGCAGCTCGTCTGAACTCAGAGACCAGCCGCCCCATGCTCATCGCTTGCACAACAGGGGATGTTGTAGGCGAGGACCCAGTAAGCAAGGGGGTGTGTGCCGTGTCGTCCGTTGCTCGACAGATGGACGTGTGAGCAAGATATAATATCTTCTCAAATCCGCTCAACATCTCATGACAGACTGATCATCCACACATTCCATTCTATTGTTGGCCCCATTTCGCTAGACGCGACTTTTCATTCCTTTCCCTTTCAGGTAATTAAGTTGCTGTTATTTTACTGCCGGTCAGTCAACCACTCTTTTTTCCAAGATGCAATACCCTACTTTCGGCCACTTCCTCTTGGCGAGCATCCTTGCCGTTCAAGGTGCTCATTCCTTCTCTCTTACCCCCGCCGGCCAGGTTGCTCAACGCTACGCTGTAAGTTCATAACCACCAACTCATCTTTGAAACACTTCAGATACTAACCTCGAGGTACATAGGCACCTGCCCTGGCACTCGCACTCCCTGTTCTTGCTGCGCCCACAGCCGTCGACATCGAGGCCCGCGAGGTAAGATACTTACCCCCTTCTCCAATGTGCTCGCATCCAGACACTCCAATGCTGACCCGCCCCTTATAGCCTCACCACAAGGGCAAGAAGACCAAGGAGGCCAAGAAGGGCGGCAAGCGTGACGAGGCTGCCGTTGAGGCTCGTGAGCCCCACCACAAGGGCAAGAAGACCAAGGAGGCCAAGAAGGGCGGCAAGCGTGACGAGTCTGCCGTTCAGGATGCCGAGGACGCTGCCGATGACGGTGATGTAGATGATGATGCCGACCACGGCATCGAGACCCGCGAGCCCCACCACAAGGGCAAGAAGACCAAGGAGGCCAAGAAGGGCGGCAAGCGTGACGAGGCTGCCATCGAGGCCCGCGAGCCCCACCACAAGGGCAAGAAGACCAAGGAGGCCAAGAAGGGCGGCAAGCGTGACGAGGCTGCCATCGAGGCCCGCGAGCCCCACCACAAGGGCAAGAAGACCAAGGAGGCCAAGAAGGGCGGCAAGCGTGACGAGGCTGCCATCGAGGCTGACACGATTGCTGTTGAGGAGGACAATGCTATCCAGGAGGATGATGCCGAGGACCACGGCATTGAGACCCGCGAGCCCCACCACAAGGGTAAGAAGACCAAGGAGGCCAAGAAGGGCGGCAAGCGCGACGAGACTGCCATCGAGGCTCGTGAGCCCCACCACAAGGGCAAGAAGACCAAGGAGGCCAAGAAGGGCGGCAAGCGTGACGAGGCTGCCATCGAGGCTGACACGATTGCTGTTGAGGAGGACAATGCTATCCAGGAGGATGATGCCGAGGACCACGGCATTGAGACCCGCGAGCCCCACCACAAGGGCAAGAAGACCAAGGAGGCCAAGAAGGGCGGCAAGCGCGACGAGGCTGCCATCGAGGCTGACACGATTGCCGTTGAGGAGGACAATGCTATCCAGGAGGATGATGCCGAGGACCACGGCATTGAGACCCGCGAACCCCACCACAAGGGTCCTGCATGCATGTAGGGGGAACTAAAACATATTGGGGGGGATTCCTTCCAATCTAGTAAATCAATATTCTGTCACTCGCCTATGTTGGAGATCTATGAACCGCCGTGTGAGACTTAGTGCAAGCATGAGGAATCGTACACGGAACTCATCGGTGGTCAACGGCTCAGGGGACAAGAATGAGTTTCGTTCCAGAACGCTCACTGAAGCTCGCGCATCACGGATCCGCCAGCCATTGACGCGAAGTTGGGATGGCAAGCGCGACGAGACTGCCGTTGAGGATGCCGCCATCGAGGCCCGCGAGCCCCACCACAAGGGCAAGAAGACCAAGGAGGCCAAGAAGGGCGGCAAGCGTGATGAGCTCTCGGCTCGCGTCTTCTCTGCCTAAGGGGAGACCAATCTTGGCAGACAAAGGGGCCAGCAAGTTAACCCTCTGGCCAGGATACCCCTGGGCTGAGACGAACGCCTCATCTTCTTTAGGTAGCGTCCGAAATTCACACAGTGAAGCACTTCAGCTTCGCCTTCGGCTTCCGCAAGTTTGGACATTGCTCTGTAAACTAGAATCAGCTTCTTTTTTTCCATACAGTATTTTAAACAAGTAATAATGACGGTACACAAAACGTGCATGCTAATTCCGTGACCCCAGCAATGTCTTCTTTGTGAGAGGTTCGTGCGTCAAACTGCATAGTCGCAAGGCCTGCTGTGATCCCAATGTTGTCCGAAGATGGTAATTTTTCCAGCCGCCGCATGTTGTGACGAAAACCGTGTTTCGCGTTGGCCTTCGTGTTCGGACGGTCTTGTAACACGGTGTGGTGCCCCGGCTGGTTCTCGCGTTCGCGCTCGCAAAGGGGGCCTCGAAGCAGAGCGAGTAATACAGGGAAGTCGGATCGGTTTCCAAAAGACCGTCTGACCAACTTCCCATCCTGCCGGGCGACTACGCGCAAAAACTATTTTGGGAGCACCGGTATCCGGGAATAGTATGACGTTGGGCGTTGTTGAGGCTCTTTGACTTGGCAAACTGGAGGCTTTCGAGTTCCATCTCTGCCAAGATGCCTGTCGACATGATCTACCCGGGCGCCGTGGCGTTTCGTCTCTGGGGGATGCGAACCAGGAAGTGCAAATCATCTTGGAAAGCGAGCGATTGGTGACAACTGCCCTTGCCCCTTTCCCTGCAGCCCTGCTGATCAGTGACTGTCTCCACCGATGAATCACAGCACGGGCGACCATCTCTCCCACATCGGTTCGTTCCACTTGGCGACGACTTCTGAGACTCATTGTCCCAGGTAGCAACCACAGGTATCGAGATGACGGATCATGGTCAAAGCGCACAGGATCTTCTAAAAGCATCTACTGCGTGACGCAGATCTGTAGTGTACACCAGCCCTTGAGTTGGCCGAAAAAATGAACAAACTGAGCTTGAGCGTTATTGATTGCATCTGGCCGATTGCTCGTGTCTGGTCCGAAGTGTCTGGCTGAAAGATGACAAGACGACACGTCACGTCTCCTGTGCATGCCGTGAGATCCGGTCCAATAGCCGCGGGGCCATGCATGTTGTCCTGCTTCTTGAGCAAACGAAGATGATCACGAAAAAGGAGCATTGACGTGCACTCTATTCGGAATCGACAACAGGAAGGCACGGTGGCCGGATCCATCGGCGGCCCGCTTACATAATCTCCCACACAGCTCTTGTCTTATCGATAAGATATCACCAGGCAAGCGCCTGGATGGTGGGGTAACTGCCTGTACCGACGTCTCCAACTTGACGCGAACCTCAACTACATCTTCGCCATCGCCACCTCCTGTAAGCAGATCCTGCTCACGTGGAACCGAGCAGACACAATGGAGACAGCTCTCAAGTCGTGGGGTACATTGAATCGTCCCATTTCTCCGCCGTTACGCATTGAGTCCCTTACTAACCGCCCCTTCCAGAGCTCGACAACAACGTCAAGTTGGTCGACCCCAAACGCGACGCCCTCTATGACCTCGACCTCGATGCCCAGAGAGAAGCAATGAGCGCCCGACCCTGGGCTGCCAACCCGAATCACTTCAAGAACGTCCGTATCAGCGCCGTTGCCCTCATCAAGATGGTGATGCATGCCCGTTCCGGCGGCAACCTCGAGATCATGGGTCTGATGCAGGGGTACGTCAATGGTGACACCTTTATCGTCACGGACGCTTTCCGGTTACCCGTCGAGGGAACCGAGACGCGCGTAAACGCTCAGGGCGACGCTGAGGAGTATATGGTTGAGTACCTGAGCCTGTGCCGCGAACAGGGCCGCATGGAGAACGTCGTGGGATGGTACCACTCCCACCCGGGCTACGGCTGCTGGCTGTCGGGAATCGATGTCAGCACGCAAGCCCTCCAGCAGCAGTTTCAGGAGCCCTTCCTTGCCGTCGTCATTGACCCCGACCGCACCATCAACGCCGGCAAGGTGGAGATTGGCGCCTTCCGGACGTACCCCGAGAACTACATCAAGGAGAAGGAGGGCAGCAGCGGGGGCGTCACGAGCGACGGTTGGCAGGAGGTGCCTCTGGCCAAAGCGGCAGAATTTGGCGCGCACGCGAACAAATACTACAGCCTAGAAGTGTCCCACTTCAAGAGCACGCTCGAATCGCACCTGCTGGAGCTGCTGTGGCACAAGTACTGGGTGCAGACGCTGAGCCAGAGTCCGCTCATCACGAACCGCGACTACGGCAACAAACAGATGCTCGATCTCGCATCGCGTATCAAGGAAGCCACGACGCAAGTAACACGACAGGCCCGCGGCGCCTCCGGGCCCAACGCCATCGGTGCGGGAGGCAGGAAGGTCGATGGGTTGATTGAAAAACTCGTCAAGGACAGCAACACGGTGGCGACGCAGGAACGGACAGGGCTGGTAGCGATGGATGTCAAGAAGAAGATCTTTAACGGCGTGAGCGCGAATTCATTGTGAAGGTGGAGATGTTCATATTATTGCTTGCCCTCGCTAGAGGATTTCCACGACGCCTTCTGGGCACGATAGATGGCGTTCAGAGGATAGGGAGTGAGGGCGTTGGCCCTGAAATGACGACATGATTCTGAGCCACCCCTCTGATGCTCGGCTGACTGATTTTGCTTCTGGATTTGAGCTCTCGGCTTCAAATTCTCAAACGGATGGTGCGGCCTAGCTTTGCTCACGATTGGGCTGCCTGGTCCAAGTCATAGGACAGAGCCTCGCCATAATCCTTTTCATCACAAAGCTACCTCCCCAGACGGTCCGATGACTTTGATTCCACACCAGGGGCTCTGCATCGTCATATTTAGATGGCATGTCTGTAGATGGCTAGGTGCATCCTCAACTGCTTGGTCGGGCCCGATGCTACATTGCCGCATGCCGAGGTAAGGCGGCTAGGTCTTTTTTTCCCCCATGATGCGTTGTGTAGACGTCCCGCATTATGTGACATGACTGAAGCTGGAGTTTGTTCGTGGTGTGCAGCAAGCACGTGTTCAGCATCTACATCAGCTGGGCCCAGACCGTACCCTGGGATATTTATCTGCTCGACACTTTGGCGGCCTTGAGTTTCTTCAGAGTCGAGCTCGTGGCCTCGTGGGCAGGCCTATAGCGGACCAGTGACTGAGCTCAGCGGTCGTGGAGTTCTCTTCTCGGCAACGGCCTGTTTTTTCCTTTCCTTTCTTTTTTCCTCCCCCCTCGTCGCCGTGGGCTTGAAGACGGAAGATGAAGAGACACGTGACGGTTGATTGCTCATACGGCCATCGATGCCTCCATCATCATCATCGGCACACACGCTATTACATTCCTACGTTTTGATAACCACGGCTCCCGGCATGCCTCTGAGCCGACCTTCTTCCCTGACCCTTTTCTTGCAGAGTAGCGTTCCGTGGCGGCCATATTCCTGTACTTCATCATGACTACACTGGCCTGCTGGAGAGCCCTGTATTTGTCACAATTATATCAGCCGGGCATTCGCAGGCTCTCGTTCGGAACCGGCAGTCGAGCAACTCGGACACGTTACGATGCAGGCGTCGATCGAGTTCTTGCCCTTATCCGCGACGCTGTTTCGTAAACCGGAGTACCCTTTGAGCCCCTCGTGACAAGAGACAGACGGCAGGCAAAACATCCTTGCCTCCGATTCCATGCATTACTTACATACATTGGATCGGCCAAGGCCAAAAGCCGTAATCTCTCGCATAATCTCGCAGTCAGCCCCGTGTCTTCGGAGGTGGAAGTTCTCTTTGGCCGGACATTGCACAGTTACGCAAGTTGAACCCGACTAGTAAAGGAGTCAAAATACTTCATGTCTAGGGCTGAATGCCTCATTTTCACCACCAGATCGCCCATTCAAATAGTTGCATAAACCACAGTGTTTAGACAGCTTTACCGCTACCACGCGCACCGCGGCCTCTGACCCCCCCCCCCTTTCCTGATCCGTAACGCACAGGAGGCCATGACGCGCGCCGTGATATCAGGCTCCGCCGGCCGAAGTGTTCTTCGGGACCGGGGCCGTTGTGATATCCCTTGTCGGATCCAAAGTTTGCAGTAGAAATGTGCGCGTAGTCATCTAGGCCTGCTTCAGAAGAGGATTCAGATGAAGAGCTAGTGGTTGAGAGGGGAGGGGGGGTCTGTATGAAGCCGGCATCGACCCAATGTGAGGCATGATGTATTTCGTCTTGTTCTCTTGGCCTGCGAAGCGCCGGTCAGTTCCTCCGCCTATACATGTGCCTTCGCACATCATGCATATGCAACGACGACCCATGGGGCCAGCCTGGGACATCAATGAAACGACAGACTCGTCCAGATCTGCGGCAAGCCCAGTTCTCTCAGAGGAGTCGAGCACAAAAAAGCTGCGAGGAGGCAAGCTGGCGACCCAGCTGCGAGGACGTGGAAGTCTAATCATCAAGCCCATGGGCGCCCCAGGGCTGGAGGCGGGCTCGCGCTGTCCTGGCGCACGTCATACAACCCCTTCGCCTGCCGGAACGAACCGGCAGGAAACTGGTGCCATGGACCACCAGCTCTCCGATCGACGGGATACTAGAGGCGCGGGGTGGCAACCGCTTCCTTCTCGTTAACGGCCCAGAGTCCGAGGTCGCTGCAGTGTGTCCTGAGAAGAAGCAAGATGCAAAGCGACAAGCTCCCTCCGTCACTCCGGGGATCCGATTCGCAGCCCCGTCAAGCCGTCGTTTATGTCATTGGTCTCCAGCTCGACAGCGGCTCAGTCGCCCCCCGAAAGTCCCGTTCTTCCGTCCCCCTCTTGGTTCAGATGCTCACCCCAGACCGTGTCTCTCCCCAGGACACGGCCTTCGTACACCGTCCGAGTTCGGCCTGCGACGGGGTCGAAGAGAAGCTGACAGGGGCGGGAGGACTGGAGATGGCACAAACCGAGTTCCCCTGTCACAGACGTCATCTCAAGGGAAGAATATCGATAAAAGACGACCATGACACCGGGAAAGGAAGGGGGGTGGGGGGTCCTCTTCAGCTGGGGATCGTCCATGGCAAAGGGCGCTGGCCATTAGAGGGAGTGTCGTGCACTAATGTCGCTCAATCCTTGGTGAAGTCGTGTAAGTCGACGGGGATGAACGCCCCTCGGGTGAATCGCCCCGAGTCTCGGAAGCAGTCGTTGATCCGTTCCCCATCGTGGACAATCTTTAGGGTCTCGCGACAATAGCATCATCTCCCCTTCTGTTGGAAAATGCCGCGGACAGAAGATGACATCCGGCTCAGACCGTGGAGAGATGGGCGTCGATGGCGGTGTGGATGATGAGGGGATCATCAGGGGCACTCGTACCCGCCGGGCGTGGGCCCCAAAATAAAAGAAAGAAAACCCTCCCCTTCACCTCCTGCTCAGCTTTGTCCCTATTCCCAAACCCACTTTCCCTTGGAAATGCATATCTTGTCGAGCGCCCTCCGATGGTCGAGTCGGGCCTCGAAACCGCTGGCGTGATATGTATGTCGTCGTTTTGTCCCAGGCCGCCGTCCCTGCCTTGGTAATGACATGTCGACACCCGCCGAAGAGTCCTCCCTCAGCCTATCGTCCATGCCAGACATGACGTACAGGCCTCCGGCCGCAATAAACCGATTTTCCGACCCAGATATGAAGAAAATACTCTCTTTTGTTTTGTTTTGTGTTTGTGTGTATGTGTATGTTGTAACTCGTCACGAGGAAAGCGGCAGAATCATCTCTTAAACCCCCCTACGTAAAATCGAAGGGGGGGAGGGGGGACATGCCGTCCCTCTAAATACCCTCGTGACCCCAAAGACACCACGATGTCGCCATGGCATACATCATTCTCGTGCAACCGCACGCCATCCGCAGCTACGTGCCCGGGTGGCCTAAAACCTCCCAGTAAGCCAGTTGTTCCTAAGTGGATAGAGCTCCTGCGGCTTTCCTAAAACAGGCGTCAAA